TTGAATAGCTCCGGAATCAAAGTCTTCGCGAATTCATCTTCGTCCATCACGATGAAAGAATTGCCGTCATCCGACCACCGAATTAGATCGGTGTTTTTGGACTCATCCAGAAAACTGCAGCCATGGTTAGTCGCCCATCTTCTTCAAGTTGCTTTTCCGGGGGAGCGTACCTGCTCAGCTTCTGAACGAAAGGAGGGATCTGTTTTCGCTTGGCCTGGACTTCTCTCTTCGCGACCATCGCGCGCTCGTACAACTCACTGAGGCTCTCCCCCCATCCACCGGACTCGCCAGACCCACTGCCATGGTCTGAGAAAGAGGCCGACGTCTGGTCATACCCGCGACTGCGGTTGACCAATTGAGTGGGGGTCTGGCGCCGAGCAAGCTGGCCTGAAGCCGTCGCAGTGGAGGCCGGGACATCTGAGTTCGAGGTGTAAGCTGCCGGGTTGTAAGAGCTCGCATCAGGGTAGGACGGGCTGGAGACGTTGGAGGACGGATTCTGGCCCCATTGTAGGAACTGGTCGTTCGACAGCTGGTTGCCGGGATTTTGAGGATAATTCGTGAGCGGGCCAAGTTGCGGATGCACGATGGGGGATGTGCCAGGAGCTGGTCGTTTGCGGGTGATTCCTTGAGGGCTCATCACAGGCGAGTGAACGACCTACAGACGGTCGGTCGGGCGGGCAAGCGGGTATTGTGGAGAGAGGAGTTTTTTTGGTCGATTCGCGTGTTCCGTCCGTCGTGCTCGGGGATGGGGTAGGATAAAAAAAGTCCGAGAAAAAAGCGATCAGCGAGGGAGGAACGACTCGCTGCTCGGGATCTGCTGGGTGGGCGGATGGCGGGGGATAAGCGGGCAGGTGTTCAGCTGGCACGGCTGGCTGATTTGGGAAATCGCAAAACCAAGGACAGTCATAAACGTCGTGGGAGGGGCGAAGGTGTATAATCCCAGAGCTATATCACTCAAAGGATATGATAAACAAGGAACAGAGCAGGAGGAGGAGGAGGAAGAGGAGGAGGAGGAGCAGTGGACAAGGGTGGATGGAGAACGCAAGTGTCAATGGCGGAGACGCGACGGGCGCCGCCGCAGACGCTAGATGGAGTAGTTGCAAGAAATGAACGCGAAAGGCGGGAGTCAGGCAATAGGCGGGCGGGTATGGAATAATGAGAACAATCGTTAGCTATTGTATAGGATCGTCGGTTGGTTTGCAGTGTTTCGCACAGATGCAGAGAAGAGAAAGTTAGGAAACGATGGCAGTGCGATTGTGACAGCCTTGACAGGACTCGACCAGTTGGGTCGCAGAGGGGGAAGACACGGCGGGCGAGCGCAGGGAAAGCCAAAAGCACCAGCGCAGGACAATAAAGTACGCAGGAGGAGGAGTAGTAGTATACCGGTAGGGTAGGTAATAGGTATTCAGTAAAAAAAAAAAGGAAGGACTGGGCTGAAGCTGTTGGCTCACGACCCTTCTAGTTTCAAGGCTCCGCAGCAACAACAAGCTGATTCTAATGGGTCCTAATGGCGCGGTCTTGGTGGAGGTGGATTTAGAGAACAAAAAACGGCGTTTCCAGTCTTGCAAAACTCCTCCTATCGAGAAGCTTGGCGGGCGGTGATGAGGTCAATTGCTCCAACTGTGCCGACTGATTGGCGGGTCTTGCAGATAGCTGACTCAGCTGATTGTCACTTGCACGTGTCGATGGGGTTTGGCAACTGGTCAAAGCAGACATTAACTTGAGATTGATAGTAGGTAAGAAGATATAGATATATCAGCACTGACACGACACTCATCTTCGGGTCCGGCTCTTATCATAGAGTGCCCCAGTATCGGAGCGGGAACCCTAAGACGCAGAGAAAGAGAGAAAAAAAAACTTGTGCTGTTCAATTGGCTTGTAAACTACTACAAAGGTACAGTTTGAGGCTGTCTATACACTAGTTCGGCCGTGCCTTGGACCGGCACACTCTCCACTTCGGCCTCATATCCAATCACCGTCAACTAACAACAGTAGCCTCGACCTTGTTCGGCCTCCAGATGGCCGTGATCCCCAGAACCATTGGCTCTCCAGATGTTTCAAGCGCCTTCGATGGAGTTCTGCTGATCAAATTTTTGCTCCCTTGCTAAGTGACTGGGGAAAGAGGACCACAAAGGGACGGAAAGCGCAAACACCAGCCAAAAGAGGGCATAGCCAAGACCAAACGGGCCAGTACCGAGATTCCGCCGGAAGACGAGACAACCTCCACAATTTATCGCGGGTTTCCTTTTCCTTTCCCCCAGTGACACAACAAGGTAGAGAGGATACCTAGTAGTCTAAACCTTCTCATCCAATGCCGTGGCTTATTCCCCGATTGATAGCCGGAACTCTGCCAGGATTTCCTGCCACTCCTCTGGCTGCGCACCAGAAAATCGTTCGATCTTCGCGAGAGCAGCCAAATCCTCTTTCATCCGAGCCGTGTTGGTGGTTCCATCCAACACTGTGGTATACCCTAGGCCCAAAACCAGACAGTAGAGGGCTGCCGCCGGGGAGAGCTCTGCCCGCTGGGCCAATGACTGCACGGCGTTCGAATGCACGAGATCCGGGTTCGCCGTCAACGTCCAGAAGCTCTGATAGACGATGTGCTGCTCCCGACAGAAGGCCCGTAGCGCGACATCATACTCCGTGTCAGCGTAGAACCGATTCTGCACCACCGCCGGCTTCACCTGCACCTGGGTGAACAGCTCTTTCAGAACGGGCAAGTCGGTGTTCGAGATCCCCAGATTGCGAATGCGGTGCGGGACGTAAGTCTCGAAGGTCTGCCAGGCCTCCAGCGTCTGCGCCATGGTGGGCAGTGGGGAATGGAGGATAAGCATATCGATGTACGCCTCGTCCGCACTCTCCGGCGCCTCGGCCGGCCGCAGATTATGCAGCGATGAACGAATCGAGGCATGGACCTGCTCGGTCACGGACGCCTTCGGATTGTAGGGCATATCCTTGGGGTCCTGGCCCCGGACGGAGGTGAATTTGGTCTGGATCTGGAACCTGGCTTAGCTACTGCGGGGGCCAATGCATCATGATGCAGCAGGGCATGCTTGTCCAGAGGATTGAGACTCCCACAGTGTGTATTGACGGGGACTTACATGGAGATCTTTGCGCTGGATGGCGCCACCGTTGAGGGCCCGGCGAATGCCCTCTCCAACTAGATCCTCCCGATAGTGTTTTGGTTGGGCAGCTGTATCCACGGCACGGAAGCCAGTGCTCAGCGCCTGGTGAACCAGATCCGTAGTCTGGGTTTTCTTCCATGCGGTCCCATATATCAGAGTTGGTATTATAGACGGAGGGGCGTTCTGGACCGGCCGAAGGACATGGTTTTCCCAGGACATCTTGCTTATCGCAGCGCGGGCCATTGGAAAGTTGGAAGTGTGTAGGAGATATCCGGATAGTGTTGGGATGGATGGAGTATACTAAGGATGTACAGTACTAGGGAGTACTACTAACAAGTCACGCACAAGATGGAAACATGGAACTTCAAAACGCCAGGGATCTTATGACATGACATGTATCATCCACATCCACTGGAATGGGATAAAATGGACAGAATGAGGGGTTGTCGACGGCACATTCCGACGCAGTTTATCATCAAAAGGGGGGGAGCTGACCTCATCATAGGTCGACCTAGGTAGCATGCCAGCTTTACACTTTTGGGTGTACGTGGGAATTCATTTCCGGAAACTATCCAGTATAGGCCCCGTATGGAACAAAAGGACTACTAGGGAATTAAGTGTTCATTTCATAGTTGGCCCCATTTCACTACTCGAGTCATGGATACTGACCAAATCCCGAAAGCCGCCCGGTCCTTCGTGATATTTGGCACATTCGGTGCAAGTCCTTTTCATCGTCACAGTCGAGTTATCGGCAGTTGTTGTCTGGACCGTCAAATCTTCATGCATAAAATTGTAGGCAACATAGTTCTTTAATATACAAATGGATGCTCTGAATGGCTTGTGGTTCGATTAACGTGTGACGCTATCTATATTTAGCAAGGAGGCGGTGCAGGGCTTTCAGGGACATCCCATGTATGCATTTTCTCCAGAATCTTTTTCTGCACCTCCGACGTTTCTCTACCCAACCTCCAACTTGCAATTGGCAAATTTTCTATGTGGGATGTATTGAACTTGTACTGTAATGGGAATATCTTCACATACCACCACAATGAATCCGCAAAGAGTTCTACATTCTACCGAGGAACCATGTCCAATATGTCATGATAAACACACAACACCACTGATCCAAAGCAGCGTCTCTCTCCCTAAACACCCACCCTCCTCTCAAGAAATGCGGCCCATATTCAGTCAGGATGAACCCTGACTCTGCATGATATACCATCGCGATTGCAAAGCCAAGAAGCCAAGCAACAACTCACCAGCCTGAGGACGAAGATCTGCCCACAGAACCATTCTTCAAACCGCAAACCGCAACCATCTCAACCACTGCAGCTGCAAACTACCAGGCAACCACTTTTGACGCAGTGTACATTGACTTTGTTGAATGTTGATCGCCGCTTCATCAGGGTCCTGCTCCTGTTTTTGATCTTCCACCCTTCTTGGCGACCGCGACTTGGGCGAGGCTGAGCAAGGGTCCCATCCAGATAGCGCAGATAGCGTCCAGCAAGAAGTTTCTCGCTTCGAGGTTCTACGCACCAGATGAATGGAGGAGGGACTTGGTCGTCCCTCAAGCTAACTCGGCATCAGCATCGGTATCGGCAGTGGTCTGCCGCGGAGGGGAGAAGCTGTAGCCTACGCTTCAGAAGTAGCGATGAAGCAAATATAGAAACATACACCCATAAGAAACTGAGGGGAAGGGCAGACAAGCTTGAAGTCAAAGTATAAAGATGGGCTCCATGGTCCCTCGGTCGATTAGAGTTCGATACCAGCACCAGAGCACTTCAACAGCAAGCCTTTTCGTCACCATCCTCTCTCTCATACATAGCTCTCTCTCTCTCTTTCTCTTTCTCGCTCTTCACCCCCATCACATCACGCACCTTTATCCACCAAAAACCCGCAAACCAAAACCACAATGCAGATCGCCCACCTCCTAGCCCTCAGCGGCCTCATGCTCGCAACCACCGTCACCGCCGGCGGGGATCTCGATCGCAACGACGTCCCCAACACCTGCTGGGAGCCGTGCGGCCCCGTCGTCAACATCTCGCACGCCTGCGACGCCCAGACCGACAACGACCGCGCCGAACTCCAATGCGTCTGCGGGTGGGATCGCGCCGCCACGCTCATCCCGCTGTGCGAGGCCTGTATCGGGTATTATCGGACCCAGCAGCATCACGATCACGATCACGATGATGACCATGACCATGACAATGACAACGATGATGATGATGATGATGATGATGATGATGATGATGATGATGATGATGACGACAATGACCGACACGATAACAGTATGCATACCCCTTCAAGAACCTTTAAGACAAAGCGACCCCGCAGCGGAGCATCAAACTTACCATTATGTCCTGATGGGCGCTCGAGGCAGACGCATACGATATCCTGACCTCATGCTCCTTTTCAACCACCACCTGGAACCCGGCGGCTGCGACCTCGGTGCTGAGCGCGGTACATGCGTCGACGACGGGGAATGGGAATGCGACTGCTAGCACTAGTGCTAGTGCTACTGGGGCGGGGGCTGCGGGTACGACTACTGCTGCTGCTGGAACCGGGGGAGGTCGGGATAGTGTTAGTACCACTGATGGTAGTAGTGGTGCGACTGGTCGGGCTGATTCGGGTACGGCGACGGGCGCTGTCTCTGCGGAGGGGACTCGAGTTACTGATAATGCGGCGCCGGGGCTGGTGGCGGGTCGTGAGGCTGCGTCTTTTGCGGCTGTTGTTGGGGTGGGTGTTCTTGCTTTGTTGTGAGGGTGAGTGGTGGAGATTGGGGGGAGTGAGGCCTTTGGAGCTGAGGGGTGGGAGGCAGAGTGGGGTGAGTGAAGAGGATCGCTTTGGTTAGATCTATGAATGATGGACTATGAAAGCATGAGTGATGATTCTGGTAGATAGGATATAATATCATGTTGTTGGGTGGATGTCGTTTGGGTTCGGCTCGAACTGTTGATGGGGTTTGGTTGCAGTTGTCAAGTTGTGAGAATGCTGCTGTCATTTAGTCTTTGTTTCGATGACTACGAATAAGATACTCTTGAGTCAGGGAATCTGGTGCTCGCAGTATAGACTCAATGGTTGCTGAGTATTGAGGCTCAGGGCTCAAGTTCTGAAAAGTCAAGGGATATAGTCACTTGCTGATAGTATCATGTATTGCTTCGTGGCACTAGCCTTGGTCATATCGCAAAGCAAGAGGAGTGAATGTTGTCGACCGTTGCTAGGAGAAGGCCAACACTCAACAAGCGGAGGTTGTGAGCTTACCCACGAGTCACCAACAGTAAGAGATCGCTACAAGAGGTGAACTGTGCAGGGCGCAAGCTGTCTCAAATAATGAATGAGATGCGATGATCGGACACCAGATCAGCGAACTTCCCATACTACCTTGATACTCATTTCGGAGCGAGAGTCGATGGAGTGGGATAAGAACTCCCAGGACTGAGGAAGCACATATTCTCCAAGGAGGAAAACGCCAGCAATCTCATCGATCGAAACCTACACCTACACCTCACCAGCAGCGATGACCGCTGTGCGGTATTTACCCTTTCTGGACACTACACTACGCAAAGACAACGTCAGATATGAGAGATCTCCCTCAGCCTCCACACCCCCTCCAAAAGAACACGGGGCAATCGAATCCAGCACTCCACCTTAGGGCCTTCACACTCCAGCCCACCATGATATCTATCCAACGCCAAGCAACCAAAAAGGAGAGGAAAAGCATAGCGTGTAGATACCACGAAGGTGGGCCCTATCCAACAACACTTACCGCCGACAGCGACCAAAAGACCGCACTCACGGGCTGAACGCTTTCTCCCTTCCTCCCTTCTCTCCGAGATCGCCACGGGAACAACCGAAATGACATATGCTGACAGGAGGAGTTGGGAAGAGAACAAACTTCCCAGTCCACGGGGTCTTTTCTGTTCGCTCCTGGCGGACGGAACAACGGAACGGAGGTTCAGTAAGGGTCCCATCTAACTCCGTAGGCATGCAGCATGGGCGATGTGACTGAGGCCGGATCAGGAAAAAGGTATCTGACCTTTCATATGTACTGCACGTACATACAGTCATGTATGGATTCCTCCATACAGGACCAGTGGCTTCTCTTTGCATGTGTGTATGTGAGTGTGTGTTGTTGGTGTTAGAGGGCGATGGGTTCGTCCGCCCTTGCTTGGGCGAGGTCGGTCTGATCCATGGATAGTCTCGAGAGCGACAGGTTGGTGATTCTGTCGGAGCGGGGGCGAGTGAAGTTGCTATGAAATGTTGTTTTCAATCGAAGGAGAGGAGGGGGGAGAGGAAGGGTCAAAGGGGAGAAAGGAGCGACTTATATGTCACTGGTATGGGTGTGTTCGTTGTTGGGCAGATTTCTCTGTGTGTATGCACCGTCTGAACATATTGGTAGGTTTTCTCTGTCCGTCTCTTTTTGGAAAGAGGGGAGGGGAAATATTTCACTCAAGTGGCGACTGGCGCGATGTCAAAGTGATGGATCAGGTGGCTTTCATGCTGCATTGCATTAGCTCCATTTTGCACAGACCAAAACAAAAATATGGGAGTATGGCGATCAAGAACAGAACTAGGAAAGTAACAAAAGCAATGGAAGAAAGATGTCATCATCGTTTCAATGATCTGAGAGGATCGTAAATCGAATCCCTCACGGGGTGATCATCGAGCTGTCTTGCTGGCGTCGTTGGGTACAGAATCTGCAGCTCGCCACGCATTTGCTGGCGATGCGAGCCCTCCTCGACAAAGACACCAGGGAGAAAATGAATTGTTTCAGGTGAATGACATAAGTCGCAATCATGACTTCGGCGAGCAACAGCAAGAAAGTGGACTCGGTCGATACAATGAACACGTCTACTTGTCCTTCCGGCCAGTCAACGGATGTTGTGAGATGATGATCTTCACCTCCCACTACCGTGTGTATGGCAGAGATTGACCTTGACGGGATATACGAGGCGCAATCCCATGCGCTTGCTTTTCCGTCTTGATTGCATCTTGTTATTTCCACAGCCATCAGGACTGGTGTCTTGTTTCGAGGTACTTGAGCTGTGCGGTGGTAACAAGTGCTGCGTGGGTGCGAGAAGCCCGTGACCACGAGGGTTTGGCCAGAAAAAGGTTGGAAGAGCTAAAAAAAAAAAAAAAAACGGAAGTTGGGCGGTTGATCGTAGCTATCCACTATTGTAATTAAAAGAAGAGATTCTCAATAGTAGAGACTCGACAGGTTAGTAGGGGAAGGGCGTATCCTGTGTAGATGCGACTATCCTCGGATCAACTCACCTAGCCAGTTTAATCCCTTCTGCACCCCGCGCATACGACAGCATGGTCTTTCATAACGGAGCACATCCGGATATTGCCCTGCTGGCATTGCACTTCCTCTGCACGCTTGTTGATACTGCCAACTCGCATTCGAGTTTACGAAAGCGATTGGATTGCCGGAACTGGCTTGCCCCCTATCCCTGCTGCCGCGGAGGCTAAGGGCAGTCAGTCCCATAGTGATAATTATTAATCCGATGCAGCTTCCAATCAGCGATAACGATAAATCACTAGTAGGACCATAGTGTCTGAGAGACTCCATTCCAATTTCCTCCATTGGGTAGGGAAAACCGGCCCTCGGTGGACTGGGAATAGACTAAGAATATTCCATGGAAGCGCTTGCGAGTTTAGCTCACGTCGGGATCGCCCATAGAAGCTCCCCGGCGAGCTACGCCACGGGACTGGCCCTGTCTTCATGGATAAATTACCCTGAGGATTGAAGACACCCCAGGTAAGTGCCGAAACAGGATGAGTGGTGGATTTAGTGAACGCTTCGCCGATGGAACTCTACTAGTAAGAGACGGAGACTGCCTTTTTAGTGCTCGCCTAGCGAGGGCTTTTCCCCCCGGTTCTCTCTCTCCAGCTTGATCGGGGCAAATGCCAGCCCAGTCGATTGCGGGCCACTGCATGACAATGGGGAGGATTACAGTTAGTTGAGGATCCCGTGCGCTGCTGTTGCTGCTGCTATTGCTGTTTCGAGAATGGAAAACAGGCGAGCGGGAATTCTGACATCTCCGCTTAACAGGTTCTGGTGACACTCTAGCGGGTTCTAGCTTCGGAGTGTTAAATCCCAAACCGCCAGAATATTGGACCATTCCCCATAGCGAGCCAGAATTCGGGGACTTGCGGATCCCTATGGCGTGTGTGTGTGTGTGTATGTGTGTGCACTGTATGGGTGTGCTTTTGTGGCCTCGCCCCTTCGGATCCTATTGCCAGGTTTCCGTAGGACCGTCAGAGTGCGGGAGCGATCCGCTTGTTTCTGGTCCTGAAACCTGCTGACCGGAGAATGAAAATCTGATTGCTCTACCCAGAAGTCCATGGCAAGTCGCACTCCCATCGTAAAGGCTGGAGCAATGAGTTTGCGGAGATGGTTCGTCGCGCATGTCAGTTTGCACAGTACTGCACTCCGTACAGTACACTCCATCCCAGGGGAGACTCCTCCGGAACCCCGTAGACACTTGCGTGTCATGTAGACGAGGCAGTAAAATTTGCTTCGGCGGTGGAAAGTGATAATAATAGCACGGAAGATAATAATAACAGCGATAGTGTCTGGTCCGGAATTCTATTAGACGGATGCAGGGTAAATAGAGTCGTATGGAGTACCGCTCATCAGGGGCCGGGCTTAATCCCGATTGACAGGTAGGATTTTCGGGACTCGCTCCTCGCTAGTCGCTCCTGCGTCCAAGTGCATTGCCGGAGGCTAATTGATCCCGGCCAGGTATGTTCCTCGTTCGTAGATTTCCTGATGATGTTGGGATTTCGTTGAGTATCATCAGGACGAAGCTCACTGACAACGGAGGTGAAGGAAGGGCCAAGCTGGCAAAGCTTGTGTGGAGAATTCCCTCCCTTTTTCGAATTTTGGATTTGATTGTTGTTTTTCCAAGAAGTATTGAAGCTATAGGGCATGTGTTTACCCACCGAAAGGCGGATCCCGAACCCACCGTACCTAGTCTAGCTAAGTACGGCATTAGGAAGCAATAGGGACGCGTCGAACCGCTTGTACTTACAGTTTCCCCGAGTACAAAGAAGGAACAACTTCGGAATCGTCAAAGGGAATTGCCTCAAGAATTGAAGTGAACTGTGAGAGTTAGAATTAAGGCAGCAGGATGGGCAGCGATTCATTGCTGATGCCTCCCCTCTCGTCCTTTTCCCTTCAACAAAAAATCTCCGATGGCGAAAGAAGGGAACGATCTTCGGCTCAATGCGTCATATCTAATGACAGGATCCAGTTCAGGTTGACGCCTCCTCTCGATGGGAAGATAATCTCCTATGCCCAAGGAAGCTAAAGAAGGCACCAAGAGTGGCTCAGAGTGGAAGGTTTAAGGATGAGGGGGCGAGCGGTGGGTGAAGGGGGGGGGGGCAGAGGAGGTACGAGGCGGGGTGCTGTGTTCTCACGCTGGTCCATCAGGGACATCCAGACACGATGCCAGGCTGAAACACACACATCGACGGGAGAACAGACCAGATGGCGACAATCGCTTGACTACGCAGCAGGGGTAATCGGGAGATGACGCGGTGGGAAGCATGGCCATGGGGAAATCATTAGTTCTTTCCTCAGGGGGGAAGTTCAGAGAACAAAGAGAAGGTTTCAAAAACCGTCGTAGTGGCGAGAACGGTGATCAAATGTATGCATAATCTTGGAGGAGGCAGACAGGGCATTTCCCGTTATCGTCCCCTAAGTGATTCAACATGCTCTGCTCTTCACCTTCTTTGCTTTCTGTCTGTGTGTGTGTGTGTGTCTTTTCCTTCAAACACCGTTAATAGGGGGTTGTTCAGGGGCAGCCAATTAGTCTGACAATTACAGCGGTAACAATACTCAAAGGCAGGACAATAACGAAAGGATAGATGCATGAATCAACCATCATGAGTCATTCAGTAATTCCGAGTAAACCGAGTAAATCCCAAGCCTCCGATAGAGTGTATCTGGTACCTGAATCTCCAGACTTTCAGGAGGTCCATCGACAGAAACGGCTCTTCCGTAATTAGTAGGGGTGTTGCTGCGATGGTGGTGGTGGTGGTGGTGGTGGTGGTGGTGGCCATACCTACCTAGTTACCTTACAATAGTTAACTTACCTAGTACCTAGTTAGCCCAGTGTGAGTTTAGAAAGGTATAGCCCCCGTAGTTAGGCTAGTCCCGGAAGGACGGTACTGTACGGAGTACTAGCCCTCTATACCCTCTCTGTACACTTCCCCAATTTTATTTCTCCTAAAAGTCCATTAGTATTCTTAGAGTCCTAAGAGTCCTAAGAGTAGACCACCCTGAGATGTGAGGTACTTAAGTACTTGGTCTGTTCCTGAGAGTTTCGATAGATCTCGTCCGCCTATTTCTGTATACGCATCCAACCAATTGTTCTTCTTGGTTCCTGTCCCAATACTGATTGATTCTCTCGAGTGTCACCACTGCAGCTCTCCTCAACTTCCGTAAGTGATTGTGATTTCTTTGATTTGCCGTTGATCATATGTATATGTTATACACATATATATAATTTGCCTCTTCTTCTCTCGGGCCCCAGCCTTCCCATCTCCATGGTCTAGCATCAATCTTGCAGACAGCCCCGATTCTGGATTTGCACCTGCATTGATCAACCACCAATCATCGTTGCTTGCCTCTTTTGGGCGAAGCCTCAGATTTCCATTCCTATTATAATCTGCCTCCGTTTCCCAACGTTTCCTAAACAATCGCTTCTCTGCTTGCCTCTGCCACCTTGAACGAGGTCTGCACAAGCAAAGCAGTTCAAAGTCTGAGGAGACTGAGGAAGGCAAGCGAAGTCGAGAAAGGCCGACGAACATCCCCACCAAGACAGAGAGGGTTGTATCGAGTGACCTCATTCGGTGATATCAGAGTTCTCCATCTCGCTCCATCCAGCCTCCCTTCGGCTTCGTTCCAAACTTCCATCTTCATCCTCAAAGCAAAACACCCGAGAAAGACACCAGAAGGGACAGAGAGCTAGAGAAGAGGGGACAGCGAAAAAAAAAAAGAGACCCATTTCAATTGCTAGGACTGGAGTAGTGCAACGAGAAAGGCAAAGCAAGACCACGACCACACAAGTCTAGCGAGCTTTCTGTCCACTGCATCCACTGGATACCCTCGATCTTCCCCGTCTCTTCGTCCCGTCCCTCATTGGCATTCATTGGCAGTTCAACTGCGGGAATCCCTTCGTCCCATTCGTTGTGTCTCTTCACTTTCTCTTCCCTTGAAGTTTCCCATTCTCTCCTGCCTGCTGCGCCTTGCCTTGCCAATCTATCTATTCATTCATCTGTGCCTGGGTGATCACCTTCTCCCGGACCACATCTTGAATTCCTCCGTGGTTGATTGATTGATTGTGAGCAAACTTTCCTCGTCACAAGCTTTTTCTTTTCATCCCATCTGCTCGAGTCTGTTTTGATTTGAATTGATTGTATCATTGCCTGTGAGAGTGATTACATACACCAGCCCACCCACATTTCAAAACCAACTGGTTCACGGAAGAAGGGCCAGAGAAGAGTGAGAAAGAGAAGAAAAGAGACAAGAGACAAGAGACACAGATCAAGGCCAAAACTAAGCGGTCGCCCGGCTTTTCTGCGTGCCGTTTGGCGTGCGTGCTCTGCTTTTGCTTTTGCTGCTCTGCTCTGCTTCTGTTTTGCTTTTGCTCTTTGCTCTTTGCTCTGTTCTGTGCTGCTTCAATTACACTTTGCTTTCCCTCTCTCCCGACGTCCCCCCCCCCCTTCCGTCCCTGTCCTTTCTTCCCTTTTTCTCTCCCTCCTGCCGGACCACCTCCTGCTACTTGCTCGTTCTCTTTTCTTTTCCTATTCTCCCTCCTCCCTCCCCTCCACCACCACAACCCACCACCTCCTTCTCCCCCTTCTCCACTATTCCGGGCCTCGTCTTCACATCGGCCTTCCGCACACACCAGGTCGGATTCCTGGTGTCTCTCCCACCCTCAACACCCACCACCACCACTACCTCCTCCACCCCTCCCCCCCACTCACCCAAGTAGTGGCAATTTCTCTTCCCTCTCTTTTCTCTTCCTCTTTCTTTTATTCACTTGTTTGTTATTATTCTCATCATTGTCACTGTTTTTTTCTTTTCTTTTTTTTTACATCACTTCCTATTTTCTTCCTGCCCCTTCCTCTGATCTCTATTCCATTCTCCCTTCTTGCCTGACTCTAATATCACTAGGGAAGTGGGAAGAAAAAAAGTTCCTGAAACCGATTAACGCCTGAGGATTCATACGGCCATTGATGACCCTTTCGTCACGAGACAACTAGTTCGCCTGCGATTTAGCCTCCTCTTCGCTTCTTCGCATTCCCCCTCTTTTTTCCACTTGCAACCGTCGCCGTCTTAGGTCATCCGCTTCTCGTTGGTGGTTGATCTTATCTTCGACCGTTCCCTCTCGAAATTTCGAAATTCCGCACGACTCGATCATCATCCGTGACTTATTGTCGTTGGGGGATTCATCTGTTACTGGTCCTAGCGCCTTATCGGTCGCTCCTATGTTTGAATAGTTTCTTCCGAATATCGGCTTCTCATTGAACGAATCGTTGTGTGGTGGATCTCAGTGCCCACATTCCTCGGGTTGGTCGTTTCTTGGGAATTTACAATTTCTCGGTCGCCATGAGTTATCAACAAGCTCAGGAAATGTATCATGACAATACTTCGGCGCGTTCCCCTGGTTCCCAGCGCCACCAGCAACCTCTGCACCGCCAGCCGTCGCGACAATTTGACGCGTACGGCCCTATGCCAGTGAACCTGTATGAGGACTCAATGGCTCGCTACGATTCTGGCCGGCTGGAGCGCCTGAACTCCTCGTTGCACAACAACGCCTACGCTTACGACCTGGCGGGTTCTCAGACGTGGAATCCCAATGGTTTCGCCAACGCCCAAGCACTGGGAGGCATCCGATCCGCATCGGCCAGCTTGAAGACCACCTCGCGCACCGGTCGAGCTGGTCTGCCAACTGTATGTCCCGCTCGCCCCTGACTGGTTTACTGTGATGTTGGGTCCGCTAACTTGGTTCTCATAGACGTGGCTCGATCAGCAGCCGGGCATCCCCAGTGGCTTTTCCAACCTTGGCCCCGGTCCTCTCCAGGGTAACGCGATGCGCCAGGAACCGACGGGCCCTTCGGAGGCAGATGATGAGCTCATCCCGACGGCCATTGTCATCAAGAACATTCCATTCGCAGTTAAGAAGGAGCAATTGGTACAGCTCATGACTGAGCTTAATCTGCCACTTCCCTATGCGTTCAATTACCATTTCGACAACGGTGTCTTCCGAGGACTGGCTTTCGCCAATTTCACTTCCGCAGAGGAAACTGCGACCGTCATCGAGGTTCTGAACCATTTCGAGCTGCAGGGTCGGAAATTGCGGGTTGAATATAAGAAAATGCTCCCTCTGCAGGAGCGCGAGCGGATTGAGCGTGAGAAGCGCGAGCGGCGTGGCCAGCTGGAAGAGCAGCACCGTCCTATGGCGACCTCTCAGCTGCAGACTCAGAGCTCCATGTCTTCTCTCACCTCCCACCTTCCCGCGACCTCTCCGTCGCCCGTGTCGCAGCGGGGTCAGAAGCTGGGTAAGATGCTTCCTCATGTTTTGCGCTATTTGCGTATCGCTAACGATTCTCATCTGTCCACAGACGTCGATCTGAACGACAGCACAACACTGTCATATTATTCGCAATTGCTGCTTTTCAAGGAGGATACCGCCCGCGACTCCATGGTGTTCCCGGCCAACCTTTCGCCTATCCAGCGCCGTACGGTGCACACCCTTGCCCACAACATGGGACTTGGGCATGCGTCCCGTGGGTCAGGAGAGCAGCGACAGGTTCAAGTCTTCAAGGTTGCACCCGGTACTAATGTGAGCCCGCCCATGTCGTCTATTCCTGCTCCAGTCCAGCCGATCGAAACGGCACGTCGGGGACTCAACCGGGCAGCCACCATTGATTTCAGTGAGTCTCGGGGCGACGGACCCACCCCTTTCAACACCCTGCGCGGACAGCCATCTGGCTTTCTCGGAGTCTTGGACTCCCCCGGCAACTTCGGGAACACACAGAACCTGCGGGCGGCGAAATCGTTTGCCGACTTGCGCTCTTACACCCCCTCGCCCGTGCCCTCCTCTGCGAGCTTCCCTGCCGCCTTGCAGTCCAACGGTGCACGTCTTCAGCACTATGACGGCACCGCCAGCGGCACGTCCAACACCCCTACCCTGACGTCCGCCCCGTCCGGCTCCTCTCTCGGCATGCAGCGTGACGACAGCCTGTTGGTGAACAGCCTGAGCAGTCTTTCTTTGGGAACTGGGATTGGAGGGCCTAATGCGAGCCCGCGGAGATTGAGGGGTATGTTTTCTTGGGAGCAGCCGGAAAGTCAGCCCTCCAGCGCTGGTCCCATTGGTAGTAACCGATCCATCGGAGTTGGATTTGACGGACAGTCACAGGAGCGCATGCCCATTAGACAGCCGCGAGGCCCGATGCCCGAGAAAGGCCCAGGATTTCGACGCCCGACCGGACACCAAACGCGTGGGAGTGATGAGTTGCGCACCAGCTCCGGAGTGGAAATTATTGTGGAGTAAAATCAATTGATGGGAGACGAAGACGACGAAACTTGTTAGATTGCTTTGCCGCAAGATGCATACGACTCTTATATCACGAGGCCTGATCCTGTTCTGCGATTATTGGCTTACGATTCGATGAGGGATGACGAGATGACACTCTACCGAGAGAACCACAAAAGAATATTTCTCTGATCTAGCCAAGTTTAGACGTTATTTTTGGGGCAGCCCAGCAGGCACGCTGTTTGAACGGACTCTTTATGTTTTCTCCTTGCTGCGCGGAAAAAATCACATCAGAAAAACGAAATCTCTGAACTTTTGAGACGCGGGCGCCTTGCATGCAGAATCATCACTATCTATTCAGATCTTATGACCCCTGAAGCTCGATCAAGTTGGGTCGGCGGAAAGCAAGATAAAATCTCATTTTATTCTCGAGGGAAAGAAGACTACGAAGGACGACCACAGAAAAGAAAAAGAACTCCGATGTCTGTTATATTGGCAAGAGAGATGATGACCTACCAGCATTTGCATCTTCACTATCTATTTCTTTTTCTTGTTTGTTTATCTGTTTGTATATGGGGCGATCTGCATCAATTAATGTTTTTTTCTCTCTTCTTCTATCCTTTGCTCCCCTTTCTTTCGCTCTTTGTGGCAATCCTTGTTCTTGACTCCTTCAGGTCTAGGCACGCGTGTGGTGTGGCCGATGCTCGTTGGGCCGGTCTCTCTCACAAGGCTGCATTTGCATCTGCGTTGCGCCTGATGCCTGGTCCGTTCCCTTTGACCGGGCTCTTATATCTGAGGGTTTGTTTGTGCATTTGTAATCCAGTCACCATCGTTTGAGGAATCTTATCGCATGGACATCTTCCGAGCAGAGGGCGCATTGTTGGGGCGGAACGCCTAAATCCTGATGCATGCAATGGGTTCCAGTTCTCGGTCTGAGAGAAGAACAGTTCGTGACGGGTGCTTGCATTCTTTGCTATCTGCTGAAGAGTTCTGCTTGGCCGTTGTCCTTTTTCTCTATGCCAGGGCAACAGTCTCTACCGATGTGTGGATGGGTTTTTTTTCATTTCTTATTGAAGTATGATCGACATGAACTTTGTACGTGTACTGTGTATCAGCTATTGACCATTCTTTCTTTCTTATTCACTCCTTCTCTCCTACTACTAGACTGTCGAGTAATGGGGTGTAATGTATTGATTGCCTTTTGATTTTCGGGGTCTATTGTCTGTTTGACATGGAGTGGGTTACTCATTATTGTATCGTTCTCTTACCTCCAGATGTACTGAATTTCTCTAATGTGTTGGTCATTAAGAGGTAAGATTCGAGGTATCGAAAGGACCTTATGTTATATGGACTTTTTGGAACACGGCCTGCACTATCTTTGGCCTGTAGTTCCAGCGTATTCCACGCTTTGTAACTACTCAAATTCAAACTTGAAATGACCATCTGTACACCATCGGCTCTCTCCCTCCCTCTCTATCTAGATCACAGTGGTGAGGGAGATATAGTTGTTGCGAAATGGCAATGTTGGTGTTCTGCGCTGTCCCGTGCTGCGTGCTTAGTTAAGTCGATTAGTTAAGTTCACGCCTAAGATTATATATTTTCTGCACAGGACCTACCGGACTCGATGCTCCCGGATCCCCGTTTGTTTCTTTGTCGTCCATCATTTGAGCCAAAGGTTCGGTTCCATTTCCCCTTCCAAACTATTTATTTGGGCCAACGTTACATAATACAAATGACTGAGATGCAGTAACACTCGTCTTCATTCAACGTGCATAAGTCTATTCATTGCGAAGACCCCCGGCCTTTGAAAAGGTTTGGGCATTTATGTCTTGATCTACTGTCAATTACTCTCAAACACACCGCTCTCTCCAAGAATAGTCAACCTGTTCTACAATTTTAACCAAAAGTCAAACTGTCTTATCATGTGACAAGGGGAGGATATATCCGAATCAGTCTCGTCAAGTGCAGTCAGAGCACAAACAACACCATTTCATAGTAGATTATAAGGAGACATGGAGAAAGATAGATAGACACGTCAACGGCAGTAACACGAGAAGAATAGTCAATAAAATAAAACCGACTGCCGAGATATTCCCTTTTTCCCATTACAGCGCCCTGGATAGAAATGAAAACAAGAAGTTTAAGTGGAGACAAGGATAGAAAAAAACTGTCGGGGGGATAAGCACATGAAAGAAAGCAGAAAGAGACAAACAGAGCTAAAGAAACATTTCGAACAGGTAGCGTGCCGGGGGAGGGTAAGAAAATGTGCCCGCTGTATCCACTCCTCTTGCAAGATCTTCGGATCATGCTGACCAAGGGCCACAAGCGAGGTGAAAACTAAAGGCATGTAAAACGGGCTTAGTTCGCCCCGGTTTTGAATTCATCATTATCGAAACGCCGTTTGTTCGTCGGGTATCCGGTCCGCCGTTAAGAGGGTTTAAGCGTCAGTCTTGCTTTTCTTCTTCTGTTCGACCTTCAGCAGCAGTGCGCGGTTGATGCGTGGCAGAACACCACCGAAAGCAATCGTAGCACGGATGAGAGTATCCAGTTCCTCGTCTCCACGGATCGCGAGCTGCAAGTGACGGGGCGTGATACGCTTGACTTTCAGATCCTTGGCGGCGTTTCCGGCAAGTTCGAGGACTTCGGCGGTCAAGTATTCGAGGACGGCAGTGACATAGACAGCAGCTGTGAGCGGTATTTGTCAGCAAATTCTTGGAGGAGATGGGAGATTTTAGCAGCAGTGAAGAGGACACTCTGCGACAGATGGGCATACCCTTGGCACCAACGCGCATCTTGTTCTGTGTGTTGTTCTTCAAGAAACGCTTAACACGTCCACAAGGGAACTTAACAACTAAATGTCAGTTTATGGATTCAAAGCAAGAGCAATAGATGAACGCATGTTGGGGGTCAAAAGTCAGAATCGAGGGCGGGGGGTGGGAGGGGGATTCAAGGCGCGGATGATCGGGTCTCTTGCTTCGCACGGAAACAGCCAGCGCGCTTGTGAGCCATAAATATACAAGCGACCATCTGAATCAGAGAGCAGACCAAGAATAGCCAGACGTCAAGGAGACAGCATGCATGAGGGGCAGAGGGAAAAACTTCCCATTACAGCTGCCCCCAACCACGCGTTCCCGCGACTTGCCGATTAACGCCGTGACCAACGCCACTCCCAGGAGGAAGGAAGAAAGAGACTGAGATTACGGACCTGCAGACCGGCCTTTGCGCTGTGAGACTTCTGGCTCTTCCCCGCAGAGTCCTTGGAGCCACCCTTTCCACCGATGGACTTTCCCTTTCCGCCAGGCATCGTGAATAGTTTCGAAAGGTGGGACCGGAAGGATTAAAATTTCGCGTCAATCGAGGATTAAAAGGGGTGGAGTACGATGGTGGAAGTTGTAGCGATCCGATGCACCTCAAGCACGCGCGTTGTTGATGGTTGAAGGAGTCAGAAATGTCAAAGCCATCCTGGTCGCTAAAGACGGGCGTCGAACGTGGAGCGACGCTAGTCCCGATTTAGGAACCTGCTCAGCTGCCTACCACGGAGAGGTCTCGATCAGCATAGAGTATGCCAGTCGGCTGGCCTCACCAAAGAGCATGGTTCTGGATGCCGCTATAGATTTTGAAGAGTATTTGCACAAGCACGAGGTAAGGCTCGATCTGCAATCAGCAACCAAACAGACAGTCTGGGGAGGTTAGTTATTGAAGTGTCTATACCACCGCTGGGTCGAGTCATTCAAGTCTTGATGCAGCGATGGTTCAAGGCGCCACTTTTGTCAGAGAAAATCATTGAGCTGGATAGCATCTCTCCAGGTTGTTCTTCATGTCGAAGAGTCTCAAGCTGCATCAAATTGTGCGGGGTTGAGGTTTCTTGACTGTATGTAGAGACGCAGTTGAGGTTGGTAGGAGAGTGTGCAGAGCATGATGGTCGCTGGACTGGTTACATAATCAGAGCAGGTGATCTCTAAGTGCGCTTGCCAATCAGGTGGGCTAACTCGATGCCTTAAGGCCCCAACAGCTCTGCTTATCGCTGACGTTATCTGGGTCGCGTGTAGCATAGATAGCGCTATACCGAAAGTGGCAAATTGCGACCACGTGACAGTACGCTATCAGGACAGCTGGCACACTTTCCCGGGGCTCCAGTTCCGCAGTTTAGGAAGTTTCTGTCCTTGCACGCGTGTCTCCATCTTTGTTTCACCCCATCGTGCACTGCTCCTCATCTTCAAAGGGTCCCCTTAGGCCTCCAGCACTGCCGTTCAATCCGTCAAGATGGTGTCCCCTCAAGTGTGAGTCCTTTCGAAGCCTTCCTCTCCGAAATCGAAGCAAAAATCGTTGTCGCCTCCCGAAAATGGCATTACTGACAGTGTATTCCTTGTCGCAGTACCAACCTCGCCATCATCGTGGTGATGATGCAGCTGGCCAAGAAGGTTCCCTTCGAGAACCCCGATGTCCTCCTTCTTGTTCGTTGCATGTACATCTTGTCCAACGTGATCATCCTGGGTCTCTACTTGTATACTCAGGCCAAGATCAACAAAAAGAATGGTATGTCTGGAGTGGGCGGAATGTCGATAAAACTTCACTAATCAATTTTTAGACTTGACTACGCTTAAGTATGTCGAGCCTGCTCCCATGGGTAGCAACGAGGAGCCTCGCCCGGTGACTACCACCAACGCTGAGTACGACAAGGGACAGCTGCGCCAGCTGATCCGTGGACAACTCATGGGTGTCGGCATGATGGGTGTGATGCACCTCTACTTCAAGTACACCAACCCCCTCTTGATCCAGTCGATCATTCCTCTCAAGAGTGCCTTTGAATCCAACCTGGTCAAGATTCACATCTTCGGCAAGCCTGCTACCGGTGACCTTCAGCGCCCTTTCAAGTCTGGCAACAGCTTCATGAACCAGGGCCAGGTCAAGACCGACAAGGCTTCAGTCGAGAGCGCCGAGAAGAACTGGCGGGGTGGTGTCAAGGAGGAGTAGATTGAGAGGCCTTGGGTAACAGACGCGCGAGTAGATCGCACATGTTTTGTACCTCTTGTATTTTATAGATGCCTTGCCATTGGAGCGGAGTCGAGTCGAGCTGCGTTGCTGCTGCTTTGCTTTGATCTTCACTTCTAATGATAGTGCCGATGGGTTTACGATATTCTTTTCTTTTTTTCTCATCTTTGTAGTCAAGTTATTGGTCACTTCGTTAGTAAGCATGCTATCCTGCTGCCTATTTGTGAACTCGTGTGCATGTATCTGCTTCAACAGACTAAGCAGACGCCTTCATAATCGAGGCATATGAATGACGAAGTGGCGATGGAGTCGATTGCTTCGCCGACTATGACCGAATTGGCCTATATTCTTCTTGAACAGGATGCTATTTCTATTTGCAAGCTGAGTGAAATAATCCCGCAAATCCGCAAACCTGTCACCTGCAGCAGGGATGGCGGTAACGACGGATTTGGACGTGCTCATATGTGGAGTCAGACCCCGATTAAACAAGCGAAGGGGTTCCTCCGTTCGCTTTGACTGCCGGACTATCCGCCTGCCTGAGGCCTTACTCCCGATCCAGGGCACCAGAAATTCGCCTCCGAAGGCTGATTCTGTATTTCTAATCCTTTCATTGTACTCGTAGATCATGCTATGCTCCAATGATGACTCGAAGACTGTGTGCCATCATTGCTGCTGCTGGTCGAACTGTTGAGTGTCACGATTTCTTTCTTTGCATTGCAATTGGATATAATAGTTTTGCACAGAGCGGCAGAGCCTGTGCAGTCTTCCACTAATCACAGAAGAATCAAAGCCCGACAGAAAAAAAAAGAGAAAAAGAAAAATTCAATCTGGGACCCAGCGCGTGATGGTTGACATGGTCGCCGGTGAATCTTTTCAGGCACCCTCGGTGTCAAAGTCCAGTTGAAGCTCTCCCCAGGCCCGCTTTCAGCGTCCCAAGCAATGGTCCAGCCAGGGCGGATAAAAGAGATGGAGGGGCACGATTGCCAAGAGGGGGGAGAAGGGGGGGGGACGAGGATCATCATAAGCCCGAACCGAGCAATCCAAACGGGCCGAAGCTGGATGCGGCAAATCTTAGTAAGATCATGGATGGACCGATTGCGGGCACCCGGTATCTCCTTTCAGTTGGGGTTATTGGGGTTGATGGTGGTGGTGGTGGTGGTGGTGGTGGATGAGTGAGTGTGTGAGGTTGTCTGAGTGCTCGGTACCTCGTACTCCAATGTGAGTGACTGAATGGGGGAATCAAAGTATAGTCGTGCCAGGGGATGGTGGCCTGTTGTTACATCATTCCTTCAGTGTCTCTCCTCTTCTACCCTAACACATCATGGGTCATGGATCATAACACCACTCAATGCATCACCCTCGGCTGAGCCCATTCCCGTAAATGCGAGAATAACCTGTCTTTACCCGGAGAGCAATCTGGCTCATAACCTAGGCTCTCCAGCATCACGAAAAGAGGAGCAAGTAGTATTTCCGACGATGCTGGTAAAAGATTCTCGAGAATTGGAGTGAGTACCCGGCGTGATAGCTTTATAGCTCGCTCATTGGCCCAGACGGCAGCTGCCGAGGGGAAAGGTGGGAAGTCTGGGAGGCCCAGATATCGTGAATCTCCTGCTTTGCCCGGTGTATGAAACCGGAAAAGGCTATGGGGGAACTGGGGAGCGGCGCATGTCGGGACAATCAATAGGGCAAATCCCACGCTGACCAGCTTGGCGCATTTCTGGGTGTTTCTGACCGTTCTGGTCAGTAGTGGTGGCAGAGTGGCAGAGCTTGCCGCAGCCTTTGCCCCGTCTGTCTGTTCGGTGTAGTGACCGGGTCGTTGCGTCAGTCGATTGTCTGTCCCGCTATCCTTTTTCTACCTTCCCCTCCCCCGCCTGTTGGGAAACTTTTCTCTCCTTTCTCTTACTCTCTCTCTTTCTCTCTCCATCATCATCTTCTCTTCCATCCTTCTCCCCCAAGTAACTTCATCCAAACAGTAAGTTCTTTCTTCACAGCATCCATTCTTTTCCTGTTCTTCCCATCTGTGTATACTCCAGCTTCCTCCCGCCAAGCTACCGTTCCGTCTCCAAGCGTTCTACTAACCAGCTACCCCGCCAAACAGACACATCTACACAATGGCTCCCAAGGTACGCCTAATGAAGGCAATGAGCTCGGTTTTCATCGCGCTGTTACTCACCTAAGTAATTCTAGGTCGGTATCAACGGCTTCGGTCGTATTGGACGTATTGTGAGTGGCCTTGAGACTCTTGCTGCGAATGAGTGCCGTTCTAACAACCCTTTCTCCAGGTCTTCCGTAATGCGTGAGTGCTATCACTGCGGCTCCAATGGATCCGGGCCTTCCGGAAAACCAATTAGTACTAACAGCTTGTCTACAGCATCAACTCTGGTGACGTCGAGGTTGTTGCCGTCAACGACCCCTTCATTGAGACCCACTATGCTGTATGTGGTTGCCAACATCTGCTACCAGCAGCAAAGAGTCACTGGCTGACCGAGCTCGATGCTCATGATGTAGGCCTACATGCTCAAGTACGACAGCACCCACGGCAAGTTCAACGGTACCATCGAGACCTACGAGCAGGGCCTCGTTGTCAACGGCAAGAAGATCCGCTTCTTCGCTGAGCGTGACCCCGCTGCCATCCCCTGGGGTCAGGAGGGTGCCGACTACGTTGTCGAGTCCACCGGTGTCTTCACCACCCAGGAGAAGGCCTCTGCTCACTTGAAGGGTGGTGCCAAGAAGGTCATCATCTCTGCTCCCTCTGCCGATGCCCCCATGTTCGTCATGGGTGTCAACAACACCGAGTACAAGAAGGACATCAACGTTCTCTCCAACGCCTCTTGCACCACCAACTGCCTTGCTCCCCTCGCCAAGGTCATCAACGACAAGTTCGGTATCGTTGAGGGTCTCATGACCACTGTCCACTCCTACACCGCCACCCAGAAGGTTGTCGATGCCCCCTCCAGCAAGGACTGGAGAGGTGGCCGTACTGCTGCCCAGAACATCATCCCCAGCTCCACTGGTGCTGCTAAGGCTGTCGGCAAGGTCATTCCTTCCCTCAACGGCAAGCTCACCGGTATGGCCATGCGTGTCCCCACCGCCAACGTTTCCGTTGTCGACTTGACCTGCCGTCTCGAGAAGTCTGCCACCTACGACGAGATCAAGCAGACCCTCAAGGCTGCCTCTGAGGGCGAGCTCAAGGGTAAGTACCGTGTGTGTGGTTTTTGGTTGAACCTCTTGCTGACCATCCAATAGGTGTTCTCGGCTACACTGAGGACGACATTGTCTCCTCCGACCTGAACGGTGACAGCCACTCCTCTATCTTCGATGCCAAGGCCGGTATCGCCCTCAACCCCAACTTCGTCAAGCTCGTCTCCTGGTACGACAACGAGTGGGGTTACTCCCGCCGTGTTGTTGACCTCATTGGTAAGTTTACTGATTTTTGTCAAGCATTTGTGTACCGTTATCTAACCCGTGTGTACAGCCTACATCGCCAAGGTCGACAGCCAGTAGGAATCAGGACGGAAGGACCTCAAGAGCCTGCTTTGAGTGCGTGGCTTCAATTGCCTAGCTTCGGCTTGCTCTCATGGAAACCCGCTTTAGTAAAAGCATGTGATGACGTACTATTAATGAAATGACACAACTGTTCATATTTGTTCAATTCTCTCTCTACCCGTAAATCTGGCTTCCTTGCGGCTTCTCATTGTAGATGTGCTTCTTTCCATAAGAGGTGCAATTCTTCTCAGACATTGGATAACGTCGCAGCAAAAAATCGACTTTGGGATATGCGGTGGTGATGGCACTACAAATTTGATTAAGCTCTGGCAAATGAGCAGACTGTAAATTGTTGATACGCGTTGATTAGCGGGAGGTAAGCTTGTTATCGCCGAACAGGATAAATTCCAGTTGTCTTCCGCTAAACCGCGGCAAATTCTCGGAGCAGCGCAAGGTTGATAGTCGTTGTTGACCGTGCTTGAAGTTCGTTCTTATTCGACAATTATACTGCCCCATTTTAATCTCACTCATCAGAAGGCTCCTTTCAGCTCTTGATCGCGTTTTCCGTCCGAGTCCGAGGAACTGTGAGGAAGTGGCCAGATTTGGGATTTGAAGGGCGGGGGTCACGTGGAGCGCAGCTAAACTGCGGAATTTCGAGCTCTACCATTGATTCGAGATTCTTAGTCCAGAACGCCTCCGCTGGTGTGCTTCGGTGGGTGCTTTTCTGTACCAACAGCCACGATTATAACCTCAGAGGAGAGTCTTGGCTTGAACACTGGTCCTCATCATATACCTGTCGTTGCTTATACGACGCCAGTCGTGCCTCATTGGTCGTTCGATTTCGTGGGTCTTCCCTGTGGTCCCCGGGCCTTAGTACAAGTGATCTAAAGTGCCCTTGTTACTTGTGATCCTGCCACCCTCCAAGATATCAAGCAAACCTCCCATTCTTCGGCCTTGGCCCTCAACAAATTCGACAATCTCTCTCAGCTAGATCGTCTCTTCCGAGGCTGCATCCTCATTTTGACTTGACCTTTTTTGACTTCACTTAATCTTTCCCAGGGGCATTTTGTAGAACCTCTATTTCGTCCTTGGCTTGACCATGAGGTGTTGATTTGGCCCAACTGGAATTCGGTCAAAGCGGAAGTCAGAGAAATTGCTCCAGGCTCATCGCGATGGCACTAGAGGGCGACGAAGACACCGTCATGGGTGAGGCGGGCAACCCAGGTGCGCCTTATGGGCCCTCTCAGCCATCGATTACATCTCCGCTGCTGGGTCAGACATTCAAGCTGCCTTTGTCGCGCCACCCACTCAACTCACAGCCTCTCTCTGCCTTCTCGAAGCCGGAGCATGAAGGCGGCATTTCTCCTCCCAAGAGCCTGCCCAAGTCTGTAGACTCCGGTGATGTGATTGGCGACGACGAGAAAAATGATAGTCTTGTTGAAGAGAACTCCGACTGGTCCGATGGGGATGCAGTCGCTCGAACTGGCCTCCCGCTCGCCTCACTTCCTTCAGGTTTATGCTATGATGTGCAAATGCGTTATCATTGCGAAGTGCGGCCCACTGCAGACGTTCACCCGGAGGATCCAAGACGCATTTACTACATATACAAAGAGCTGTGCCGAGCTGGACTCGTCGATGATCCCGAGTCAAGTCAACCTCTCGTATCCCGACCTCTGAAAAGGATCAATGCTCGCAATGCTACCGAGGAGGAGATCTCCCTTGTCCACACGCCTGATCATTACGCCTTTGTAGAAAGCACTCAAGGTACTGATACCCCCCCTCCTTTGCTCGCAGTAACGGCGCGGAAGTCTCCTAACTAGCTGTGTCAGATATGACGGATGATGAACTCATTGCGTTGGAACATACACGCGATTCCATCTATTTCAACAAACTCACCTTTGCTTCTTCTATCCTGTCTGTGGGAGGGGCCATCGAGACGTGCTTGGCCGTTGCTACCCGCAAGGTGAAGAATGCTATTGCTGTGATTCGACCCCCTGGCCATCACGCCGAGCATGACAAGACTATGGGATTCTGTCTGTTCAATAATGTTTCGGTTGCAGCGCGTGTCTGCCAGCAACAGCTGGGCGAGAGCTGTAGGAAGATCTTGATTCTCGATTGGTGAGCCTAGCCATTCTAGTGTACTTGACTGTGACTAACATGCTCAAGGGACGTTCATCACGGTACTTGATTAAGCCCTGATTCCTCACTTGGGTTGATTTGCATTGGCTTATATACTTGGCAGGAAATGGCATTCAGAAAGCATTCTATGATGACCCAAACATTCTCTACATCTCGCTCCATGTCTATCAAGAGGGAAAGTTCTATCCCGGAGGCGATGAAGGAGACTGGGACCACTGCGGTGGTGGCGCCGGTGTTGGACGGTATGGCATTCCTGCTTCTTTACGTCACAGCGATGACTGACATTTGACAAGCAATGTGAATATTCCGTGGCCAAGTCAGGGAATGGGCGATGGTGACTACATGTACGCTTTCCAACAAGTGGTCATGCCCATCGCCCAGGAGTTCAATCCCGACCTTGTCATCAGTATGTCGACCTTTGCTCTGGCGGCTCAAGTCTCCGAGACTGACATATATAGTTGCTTCTGGATTCGACGCTGCTGCAGGCGATGAGCTTGGAGGTTGTTTCGTGACACCAGCTTGCTATGCTCATATGACGCACATGCTTATGACGCTTGCCAATGGCAAGGTTGCTGTCTGTCTGGAGGTTTGCCGTCCCTCAGGGAATGCATAGAAGCACCAGGGCTAAGATGGAATATTAGGGTGGCTATAATTTCCGGTCGATTTCGAAATCTGCTCTTGCCGTTACAAAGACTTTGATGGGTGACCCCCCAGACCGTCTGCATTCCACCACGCCGTCTGAAGCTGCAACAACGACTGTGAGACGCGTGATGATGATTCAGTCGGCCTATTGGAGCTGCATGTATCCGAAGGCACCGAAACAGGAGGGACACTTCACTGATCGACTCCACGGTAAGAGGACTTCACGGATCGCTCGATCGGAGACTAACAAGTCTGCAGATGTCATCCGTGCTTATCAATCCAAGCAGCTGTATGACAACTACAAACTGACATCCCTTTACATATACCGTACTGCTATCTCGAAGTCATTTGAGAATCAAGTCCTTGCGAGGTAAATCGAGCGCTCGATGGGATACGATCCTGACTGACCGGTTACAAGCCCGAACTACCACCAGGCCAAACCTCTTCTTGTCTTCTTTCATGACCCGTGAGTATTCGCGGACAACGTGAACGTGGGGGATCCTTTGCTGATGATGAGCAGGCCTGAGATCATGAGTCTGCCTCATCCCGTCACCAACAAATTAGAGGCTCATAATTGCTGGCTGGTATGTCGAGACTGTGAAGTGTTTTTCGTCATCTGCTGACAAACACTAGGCTGATGTTTTATTGAAGGACTATGTTGGATGGGCCGTGGAGAAAGGTTATGCGGTCATCGACGTCAACATCCCGAAACATGTGACTATTGATCCGGTCAGTTTGTGATGTTCTCAGTCCTTCTCATGGATACTGATTCTTGACAGTCTTCCGGGAAGTACGAAGATGAAGACGACAATAGACCTACCGCCACGGAGGAGCTCGCTGGCTATCTCTGGGATAACTATATCGAGTATGTCTTTACACCGCTAGCACTGAGCGGTAGACCTTTGATTAACAGGTATCTTTTAGACCAAATGAAGCGACTGAGATCTTTTTCATTGGCATTGGCAACGCTTTCTACGGAGTGGCCAACCTATTAATCAACCGCGGTAAGATGATTGAGGGGTATGCATGGCTGTGAGACATGGCTAACGCCGGGACAGAGACATTGTACAAACGTGTCAACGGAGTGGTCTCCTTTGTGGCCGAGAACCCTGTTCGTGCGGTCGCCTCCCATACCCAAGTCTGGCTCTCGCGGTGGTACAAAGACGTAAGTCTGAATTATGAGATCCTTTTTTCTTTTTCCGATTCTCGGCTTGGAGCTGACAGCCAGCCTCGTGAAGAACTCGCTCGTATTCGTCTCGCACACGCACGGGGTTTGGACGAGTCTGCAGCGCAAGCCTTCTAAACGCTACGGTCTCCTCGTGCAGTCGCCCAAGGCGGGGCTGAGCGAGATGCTCATGCATCACAAGAACGAGGTGTACCAGTGGATCTCGGAGCGTGCGGACGTGGCGGATAGCGAGGAAACCGAGGATGAGAAGCTCAAGAGACGGTCGCCTACCAAGGGGGCTGCTACTGGGGAGGGTCAGCGTGGACCGGGTACAAGCTGAGTTTCAGTTCCGGAATGCGCAGAAGTTAGATCTAGATATTGGTTATGGGGCAAGGAAGAGGGGGGGGATTAGTGGGTTCGCTTGTACCAAATCCATGCATAAATTCTTAGTTCATCAGTTGAGTTTCTGGAAGGTCGGAAAAGGGACCATCGGCTACGCATACTCTATTTGAGTGGTAGTGTGATAGATGCAGTGTCTTGTAGTGGCATGTTCCTCTCCAGGGTCTCGGCACACCACCTATAGCCTCAAGCCTGGAGAAGGGACTCAGCTCGTTCCTGGCGTTGCATTGCGGCTAAGACACGTTGATTTTGGACCACCTACACGTGCTGTCACGGCCTATTTCCAGTGCTGCTGCTGCTGACGATGGGGTAAAGAATCAAAATCAGATCCAGTAACCGAACCGTCCCTGCTCAGTGGTCCATTTAAAGTAAAGTCAGTGTACCTACAACTATAACCGCTGTAGTCAGTTTTTACCCCAAATTCCCACCACGAATCCTGCAAGCCATGGATCAAGGGTCTACTCAATTCTATAGATAGTATCCTCCTGCCTGCAGAAGGCATCTGAAAACCGAACACGAGCCAAGAGACGCAGTCCAATTCTCCGACTCTCCGACCCCTTTTCCCTTCCATATTGTCTTGTTCCCGGGAAGACCCTGGAAAAGCAAGGTGAAACCCAACCAAGTAGACTCTGACCGCGAAGTTACATAGAGTTCTACCAGTCTAAGGTTACTTGGATTGTTTGTGTCTTGCCTTGTAGCCTATGATTTTGACTCAGATCCTGCGCATGTTGTTTCTGGGGGGAGTGAGGAGTGGGGTGGGGGTGATTTCCGAGACATCGGGGCTGACATCCATAGACTTACTTACTGAAGACTTGCAGGAGTGTGGGGTAGAAAGTAAGACATACCGTCGATCGATCCATCCGTGATGGATGGATGATGGAGAGTTGGAGGTGCGGGGTTTGGTTTGGTTTGGTTGGGTTTGGTTCGTGGCTGTGGCTGTGGCTTTGCTCTCTTTCTCCGTTTCTTGTTGTCAGAGTATGGGTACAATCTTATGGTCCTGTATTGTCTCTTGGGAAGGAGAATCTGGGTTAAATGCCGGTGGTGATGGTGTTTGCATAGGGAGATCTCTATTTTTGTTTCTGTTTCCCCGAATATGTGATTGTGGAAGACCCTGGTTCGAGGGAAGTGTAAGTACTGGTAGCATGTGGGAACTGCCCTGTCTTTTCTTATTCGATGGTGGTGTGGTGTGGTTGATGTCTCTCATGTGCATGCGAGTATACTACCCTACCTAGTAGTAGAATTATATGGGTTTCGGGGTTTAGGCGTCCATTCGGTACTTGGTACTTGGTCCTTGGTAATTGGATTGTGGGTGGAAGTGGACTTGGAGAGTAAGAGAGAGAGTGCTGGACTGTGCCTATGGCGCTGGGCTTGGAGTGAGACATCGAGGTATGAGAGATGAGACATTTTAGGTAATTGCTTGAGGGGTTGGGCTGGGATGTTGATGTCAGTGTAGAGCAGAGGGAGACATACAGAGTTGGAAGCGATGCTACTTCTGGCTTGACGAGAAGGAAAGGATATCATGATCTCTATGGAAGAGGTATAAATACCACCCAGATGCTCACTGGAGTCTTCCAAGTAAGACTCAGTTTCCAGCGTTCGGCTTCACAATACTCTCAACTCATCTCATCCAAGTATACCTAAGGTATATCAATCCATCCACCACCCAAAATGCACATCACCACCACCCTCCTCACCACAGCATCCGCCCTCCTCATCCTCCCTACTCTCACCGCCGCCGCCGCCGGCAACGCCGTCGTTACCAACAACTGCAACACCCCGATCTACCTCTGGTCCGTCGGCGGCTCCGTCGGCCCCCGCCAGACCATCGCCCCGGGCGCCAGCTACACCGAGGCCCTCCACTACGACCCGGCCTCCGGCGGCGTCGCCCTCAAGATCACCAAGACCCCCGACGGCCTGTACGATGGCAGCCCCCAGCTGAACTACGCCTACACCCTCGACGGCGCCAAGACCTGGTACGACCTGTCCAGCGTTTTCGGGGATGCCTTCGCCGGCTCGGTGCTGAGTGTCAAGCCCAGCGATACGTCCTGCGCGAAGATCTGTTGGCCGAATGGGGTGAATCCGGGTGGCAGTCAGGTGAAGACTTGTCAGGCGGGGAGTAGTGAGGTTTTGACGGTTTGTGCGGCTGCGTGTTAGGTTTAGTCTTTGTGGGTCGATGGGGGAGGGGGAGGAGGAGGAGGGGGTAAGGAGACTGATAATTGAGTTTGGGTTGGGTCTGGTTAATGGAAGATATTGTTTAATGAATTTGGTGTTGATATTCAATAGCTTATGCAGAAGAAGATGGTACTGGTACTGGTAATGGCGCCGCAGCTACTCCCTCCATCGTAAATCCATTCCTGGACGTCTGGTCCTCTGCTTCCACCATGAACGAGGCGGCCCCGGTGTAGAATGCTCGGCCCTCGACTTGAACAATCACGGACGGTCTTCCACCAGCAGATGATAACGGCGCGAGCTCCTCGACGATCTCCGCGCGGAACTCGTCCGTCTGGAAGTGATTCGACACGAGCGAGTTGTACGCCCAGCGCTGGCCGACGGCCCGGCGGCCCTGGGCGTGGGCCAGGGCCATGCGCGCCGTCACGCACGACCCCGTCGGCGACCGGTCGATCTGGTTGTCGGCGAAGTAGCAGAGGCCGGTCTCGGCGCCCGCGACGTCGCGCGGTCGATTCCCGATGGTCGCGTCGACGATCATGACGGAGTAGAGGAACGAGAGCCGCGGGTCGGCCGGGTGCGTGACGGCGGCGACGATCTCCGGACGGCGTTCGAGGTACGGTTTCAGCTGCTGCATGCAGCGGGTGGTGGCGTCGAGGTCCACGGTCGCCAGGCCGCTGGTGAAGCCCAGTTCGGCCGCGTCGACGATGGCGTAGAAGGCGCCGCCGTAGCTGATGTCCAGGGTGATGGAGTCTCGCTGGGCGGGGAGTTCGGGCCACCGCGCGCCGGCGGGGATGGGGATGGTCAGTTGCAGGGCCGTGGCGTAGGCGGGCGTGGAAAGGAAGGAGACGGGCCGCGTGGGGTCGGATCGCGTGCCCTCTGCGTTGGTGGGGACGGTGATGCTGACGACGCCGCAGGGGGCGTGCAGCCTCAGTTGCATGGTTTGGGTCGTGGAGTCGAAGGGGAGCTGGGCGCGCCGCGGGAAGACGTTGGCGTCGTGCGTGTCGACCAGGAACCGGCCCAGCGCCAGCGTCGCGTGCCCGCACATGGTCGAGTAGCCCTCGTTGTGGATGAAGAGCACGCCCACGTCCGCCTTCCCCGTCGCCACCAGCTCCGTCGCCGGGCAGATGATCGCCCCGTACATGGCGGGATTCCCCCGCGGTTCCAGCATCAGTTGCTGGCGGATGTGGTCGTGTTGCTGGCGGGCTTGGTCCCGTTGGGCCAGCAGCGTGCCCGTCAGCTGGGGGTAGCCGGCGTAGATGATGCGGGTGGGCTCCCCGGTGGTGTGCATATCTATGCAGTGGATGGTGTTGGGGAGCTGGGTGAGCACCTGCGAGACGTCCATTTTGACAGTGGTCTTCTCTAATTTGATTGTAGTTGCTGTGATGTAAGGTAGTTCGAGCTAGTTTACAAAGGTATGGAGGTAAGTGGTTGATGAAAGAGCTTGGGTAAACGGGGGTTGTTTGTAGATCTTATCTGGGGATTGTTTGGGGAGGGGAGGTGCCGTTCGGAGAGTAGATCCGGGGCTGGCATCGGCTGGCGTTCCGAGTGGTGGTTCTCTTTACTATAGCCAGTACTGTATATGACCCAGCCCTGAGGGTAAGTAGGTACCTAGTCAGTGTGTTTGCAACGGCACCTCCTTGTAGCATCTACGCGCCATGAAAACTGTGGTAGTACAAGAAGCACGCCATTTCTCGAGTCAAGCTGAATACGAGACAGTTTGCTGTCAGCTGCAAGGGCGTCGAGTGCCACTTGGCTGGGGAATCGGCGGTTTCGCGATGGTCTCGGCGCTGTTGCCGAGTGCCCTCATTTGGGACAGAAGCATGACGTGGAAGAACAAGAAGCACTCAGAGGAAAGCCTTCCAGATCCACTCGCACCAAGACGGGCGTTTGAGCCAAGAGTGATTGGGCGATCATTCTCGAATGCTCGCCGATGAAAAGTCAACTTGGTAAAGTGCAACGACCACTTGCAGGGACACGTGCCCACTTAAGCCTCACCGCTCTCACCGCCTGAGTGTTGCCTCTCACCGCCGAAGCATGGATGCGTCTTACTGCCACTCCCTTCTTCCCTCTCTCTCTTTTGTCACTACTTCATCAATTAACAAACCTTACCTACTTTACATCTTCTCATTCTGGCGCATTGACTCTCTCAATTACGGGCCTGTCTTTGAAATCGGACCGGCTCGTGTTTTCTATTTCTCCCCCATCTCTCCCTAAATTACTCTTCCTTAAATATTCCTTCCCTTCCTCTTTCCTCTTTCCCCCCCCACGCCCTCTCCCTCCCTCCCCATCCTTAACGATACTTCACCCGGTACAGTAGCTGTTAGCGGCCGTTGCTCCTTGGACCACCTTCCTTGCACTGCATGCCTCCAAGGTCCTCTGCACCCTGCCGCTTGTGGAACACTGGACATCCTCGATCTTTATCAACCCCAATTTATCGTTCGTTATCCCGATCAGGCACCTTTGCGGCGGTAGCCCCTCATTCCTACCCCTCGCCACGCTTGTCCTCGCATTGCTGGGTCCGATCTATTGCCTCCGGTGGACAGACTCATCGTCGCCCTTCCCTCCTTCACTCTTCCACACCCATCTCGCGTGCTCCGTTTACCACTAGTCCGGTCAGCATGAGTTCTACCAAGATGGGCACTGTCGAACGCATTGCGGAGGATCTGTTGAAGCCGGAGCTGGATGATCGCTCCTATCGCGTCATCCGCCTCCCCAATAAGCTCGAAGCTCTACTGGTCCACGATCCGGATACCGACAAGGCCAGTGCTGCTGTGAACGTTAATGTCGGCAATTTCTCAGACGCAGATGATATGCCGGGTATGGCTCACGCCGTTGAACATTTGTTGTTCATGGGCACCAAAAAGGTATGTGGTTGATTCCGGCGTCAGCATGCGGCCAGTCCGGCACTAACCTCGGTTGATGGCCCGCAGTACCCCTTAGAGAACGCATACAACCAATATTTGGCATCCAACTCTGGCATGTCCAACGCATACACCGCTGCCACGGAGACCAACTACTTCTTTGAAGTGGCCGCCACTTCGCACTCTGGCGACGAAAAACCCGATACGCCTACCTCGCCCTCGGCCACGCAAGCCAAAGGGCCCCTGCACGGGGCCCTGGATCGGTTCGCTCAGTTCTTCGTCGAACCGCTTTTCTTGGAGTCAACGCTGGACCGGGAGTTGAGGGCCGTGGACTCCGAGAACAAGAAGAACCTGCAGAGCGATATGTGGCGGTTGATGCAACTGAACAAGAGCCTTTCCAACCCCGCGCATCCCTACCACCACTTCTCGACTGGAAATCTGCAGACATTGAAGGAGGATCCGGAGAAACGTGGCCTTGAGGTTCGCAGTGAATTCATCAAGTTCTATGAGGCCCATTATTCAGCCAACCGGATGAAACTGGTTTTGCTGGGCCGGGAGTCCCTCGATGAGATGGAGGAATGGGTCTCGGATCTGTTCTCGCACGTCCAGAACAAGGATCTTCCGCAAAATCGCTGGGACGACGTTCAGCCCTGGACGGCGGAGCATCTAGGAAAGCAGATCTTCGCCAAGCCGGTCATGGACATGCGGTCTCTGGACATTTACTTCCCTTTCATGGACGAGGAGCATTACTACGAGTCCCAGCCCAACCGTTACATTAGCCACCTGATCGGCCACGAGGGTCCCGGAAGTATCCTGGCTTACATCAAGGCCAAGGGTTGGGCCAACGGCTTGTCTGCTGGTCCTCTCCCCATCTGTCCTGGTGCGGCCTTTTTCACCATCAACGTCCGCTTAACCCCCGAGGGTTTGAAGAACTACCGTGAAGTCGCGCGAGTCATCTTCGAGTATATCGCTATGATCAAGGAAGGTGAGCCTCAGCAGTGGATCTATGATGAGATGAAGAACTTGGCCGAGGTCGAGTTTCGCTTCAAACAAAAGACCCCCGCCAGTCGCTTCGCCAGCAACCTGAGCAGCAAGATGCAGAAGCCCCACCCTCGAGAGTGGTTGCTGAGCACCGGGCTTCTCCGGAAGTACGACCCGGCTTTGATCAAGGAAGCCTTGTCCTACCTTCGGCCCGACAACTTCCGCATGCTTATTGTGGCCCAGGATTACCCCGGTGACTGGGATCAGAAGGAGAAGTGGTACGGCACGGAGCATAAGGTGGAGGACATTCCCCAGGACTTCATGGCCGACATCCGTAAGGCGTATGAGACCACCTCCGCGAACCGTCTGCCCGACCTGCACTTGCCCCACAAGAACGAATTTGTTCCGACTCGTCTCTCCGTCGAGAAGAAGGAAGTCTCGGAACCAGCCAAGACACCGAAGCTAATTCGGCATGACGACCACGTCCGTTTGTGGTACAAGAAGGATGACCGATTCTGGGTTCCCAAGGGCACCTTCAACATCTCACTCCGAAACCCTCTGGTGTGGGCTACTCCGGCCAACGTGGTCAAGGCCAGATTCTACTGCGAATTGGTGCGCGATGCCCTCAACGAATATGCCTATGACGCTGAGTTGGCAGGCCTTGATTATTCCCTGGGTATTAGTATCTTTGGCCTGGACATCTCGGTGGGTGGATACAATGACAAGATGTCCGTGCTTTTGGAGAAGGTTCTTACGAGCATGCGTGATCTCGTTGTGAAGCCGGAACGCTTCAGCATCATCAAGGAGCGCCTGACCCGAGCCTATAAGAACGCCGAGTACCAACAACCCTACTACCAAGTGAGCGACTACACTCGCTACCTGACCGCAGAACGGTCCTGGCTCAATGAGCAGTATGCATCCGAGTTGCAACATATCGAAGTGGAAGACGTGGCTTGCTTCTTCCCTCAGATCCTCCGTCAGAACCACATCGAGGTGTTGGCGCACGGAAACCTGTACAAGGAGGATGCACTTCGTATGACCGACCTGGTGGAATCCACTTTGAAGAGTCGTACATTGCCCGAGTCGCAGTGGCACGTGAGGCGCAATGTCATCATCCCTCCTGGCTCCAACTATATCTATGAGCGAACGCTCAAAGATCCGGCCAACGTCAACAACGGCATCGAATATTTGTTGTATATTGGAGACATTAATGACGCGGTCTTGCGGGCCAAACTGCTGCTGTTCGCCCAGATGACTGATGAGCCTGCATTCGATCAGCTCCGGAGTAAGGAGCAATTGGGATATGTTGTCTGGAGCGGCGCCCGCTATTCTTCCACTACTATCGGTTATCGCGTCATTATCCAGAGTGAGCGCGTTGCTGGGTACCTTGAACACCGTATCGAGAACTTCTTGAGCATGTTCCAGAAGACGTTGGAGGAGATGCCGGACAGTGACTTTGAAAGGCACAAGCGCAGTCTTATCAACCGGAGACTGGAAAAGCTCAAGAACCTGGGCTCAGAGACGAGTCGCTTCTGGTCCCACATTGGATCGGAGTACTTCGATTTCGTGCAGAATGAGGCGGATGCTGCCAATGTGCGGTCGTTGACCAAGTCAGACCTCATCCAGTTCTATAATCAGTTTATCAACCCTCAATCGACCACGCGTGGCAAGCTGTCCATCCATCTCAAGGCACAAGCTACCGCTCTCGCGAGCACGCCCCAGCAGCAGAAGACCCAGCTTCTGACGCGTCTGCGCACGCTCTTGGAGAAAGCGCAGTTGGCAGTCGATGCGGATCGCTTGGAGGCTGCATTCGCTGAAGTTGAGGTGTCCAGCGGCGATGAGCGTCTGATCGTGGACACCATGAAGACTGTCTTGGATGGAATGGGTCTTGCAGAGCAACAAACCAAGCAGGCCCTGGATTCGATGGCAAGCAGCGTTGGAGTAGAGCTGAAGCACATCGGCATTCAGCCCAAGAGGTTCGAAGGGCAGTCTGGCCAGACGGTCAATGGATTCGGCCAGGAGGCTGTCACCTACATTACCAACGTTCCTGAGTACAAGGCCCGTCTCAACGTCAGCGCGGGCCCGAACCCTGTCACCGATATCAGCGAGTTTGAGGACTTTGATGCCAAGCTATAATCGCACCTTCTGAATCTTAGATCCACCCACTTGCTACAACCTTCACTTCACTTATAATGATGATAGAAACTTTTTGCTGCCTTGTTGATATTGAGGCGTGATGCTGGAATGAGTACAGGACATCTTTGGGGACGCAGGGTGACGGGGTTGATAGAATTGGAATCCATGGGATGTAGATTAGAAACATGATATATAATTGAAATATTTCGACCGAGCCCTGAAAGAAGACTTGAGGTAGATGTTGTTGACTCCCCGTTGGGTTGTTTGCAACTGGGAAGTTAGGGCGGTCGGGGCGGTGGAATGTTTTCGCGGAGGGCAGCTCCGATGCCAATCGATTGATCGATCGAGCTGCGGCGGAGAGAGCATCAACTCCGCCGGGCTGTGATCCACCTCGCGACCAGCACCAACAACAACCGACCTCCTACCATCCTTCTACCTGCCGCCACCCTTCTTTCGTCACTCACTTACATCGCCTTGGCTCATCCGATTGAAGTTCAAAGATTCCCCATTTAGAGAAGGTGCATCTACCGACCATGTCGACCGCAACAGCGACGGCGATTCAGAGCTCTCGCCCGTACGTTCCAGACCTCCAGGGCGAGCTGAGCTTCAGCTCCAGGCATGGACCAACGAATACTGACTCCTTTACTCTTTGATAGTCCCATCGCTCCCAAAGACTTCTCCGCTCAGCAACCACAAACTATTCGTCTATATCCCCTCTCGAACTATACTTTCGGGACCAAGGAAACGCAACCCGAGGAAGATCCCTCCGTCCTGGCCCGCCTGAAACGCCTCGAAGAGCACTATGAGAAGTATGGCATGAGACGGACCTGCGAGGGTGTTCTTGTGTGCCATGAGCATAACCACCCGCATGTGCTCATGCTGCAGATTGCGAACGCCTTCTTCAAGCTGTACGTATCCTTTCCTATCATGGAGTCTAGACACACCGCAGTCACGACCGCGACACGACATGATTCATCCATCTAGAACAATCCAAGACTGACTCCTATGAACCTCGTTAGACCCGGAGATTACCTTCCCTTCGAAGACGACGAGGTCGAAGGGTTCAAGAAGCGGCTCAACGAGCGGCTTGCGCCCGTCGGATCGCAGTTCTCCGGCGAGGGAGTCAACGAGGACTGGGAGATCGGGGATACTCTGGCGCAGTGGTGGCGGCCCAACTTCGAGACGTTCATGTACCCATTCCTGCCCGGCCATGTGACTCGACCCAAGGAGTGCAAGAAGCTGTATTTCATTCAGCTGCCCAAGAAGAGTGAGTCCTTCTAAATCCTCAAGCCCACTTTTCATCTCATCTCATCGAGAGAACTGTGACTGAACCCGGCGGCAATGCAGAGGTCCTCTCCGTCCCGAAGAACATGAAGCTCCTCGCCGTGCCGTTGTTCGAATTGTACGACAACACTGCGCGGTACGGGCCGCAACTATCGGCGATCCCGCACCTGCTGTCCCGGTACAACTTCGAGTTTGTGGATGAGAACGATAACGTGGTGGCCGCGACGCCCGGCACCCCTCTGCCGGAGGGCCAGACGCTCCGGACTAAAGTGCTGGCGGGCGATAGTGGTGATGGGCAGGATGAGGGGATGACGGATTACACTCCTGAGGTTGGGGAGAATGGCACGGTCGCTGCGTGAGAGTCATTGTGATTTTCTCTCCGAGGCTCAACCAAGGTGTGTCCTTTTGGGCCCCCGTCTGCCTCTTGTCCTTTCTTACAGGGATTCATGAGGATACTGGGTAAGTGTGCTGTCCGTGGAGAGACATGCTTCCCCAGTCTGGAAACAACTCCGATGCTAGCAAGGGTTGGTAGTGCTGCATGGGCTGAGACTGACAATCCTGCAGGTAGATGCGAAAAGTTTCTTTCCTCCTACCCTTCCCCCGCAGCTCAGCCTCGTGGGCTCATTCCTTGCTTGATATGTTTTATTCTTGCTTTCTCTATGCTTCTCCTGTTGCCTGCTGCAAAAATAAAGATACGACGATGTTTCCCCCCATCTGGATGGCGTTTTTAAAGGAGCGGATATATTGTGATTGCGATTCTTAATCTGATTTTTTTTTCTATAACTACTTTCTCCTGTCGACGGGATCCGAAATATCTACACATACTTCCCTTCCAAGGTGGTCAGTGCTCTGAATTCGTCGTACGACACAAACCTGCTTCCTTGGGTTGGAGTTTGACTTTCGGGAGATTCTCCGGAAATCCTTGTCTTGGACAGCTCCGCTACCTCGGTTCATGTCCTCGTGTGTGTGCCTGGAGGCCTGGGACAATCCGTTGACCGCTGCATGCAGAGAAACCCAGAGGAATGGCCCCTGCCCTAGCCTGAACTTATTCCAGCCAAGGTGGGGTGGAGAGGAAAAGAACGGAGCAGCCAGCTGACCAGCACAACAACCGCGTATAGACGACTATATCAAGCTCAACTATGGAGTAGTCTACTATAAGGTGAAAACTTTAAGTACTATGTATCTCCCATGAAACTCCGAAGATACTCCACCCCAACTCCCGGCCGGCCCTAACGTAGGGACAATATAACGTACTGTCAAATCCACTCGGAAACCATTCCCACCCCAATTGGGCTCAATTGAGCAGAGGAAGTACGGTGTACGGCGGACGGTGGAGAAAGTGACATCGTATCAAATGCCGACCGAGTCCATCCGCGCCCTGTGGAGTAGATAAACGCATAGGCTGAAAGTACAGTGAATCGGGGTTGGCAGTGTTGCTGGTATCCTAGTTCCTGCTGTGAATACTCACTCCGACCAAAAACGGGTATAGTATAGTATACTGTTGTCTGCCCTAGCGCAGAGGCTATAGTGCAAGTGCAGGTGCAAGTGCAAGTATGCGGTGTTTGTTATCCTGCACGGGATTTCTTTTTCGGTCTTTCCCCACAACTTAACCCCCCTCGCGCCCCCCGGCAAGCTGTTTTACTGTCTGAGCCAACAAGAATGGCTGTTTAATTTACTCTATAGGTTGGTAGTACGTGGTGGTCGTGGTTGTGGGTAGACTACGAAGTAGACTAAGTGTCCGGCACATGATTTTAGGTAGTCTAGTCTAGTATTCTTAAAAGAGATGCCGAGGGAAGAAGGGCTGGCTGGGGCTGTAGGTTATTGCAGAATATGGGGTAGGCGTTATTAAAATGAGGGGAATCGAGGCGGGGGAACGGGGTGAGGATTGTGATGTCATCGTTTTTTGGGAGTCTACTATCTACTTTGGATAAACATACATTTTGTCTCAAAAACTGTAGAGGGTTGGGGTTTTTCGATTCTAGGGTTGAACTGGAGGAGAGGTTTTGTAGGAGGAAAGAAGGTTGATTGTTTTCCCCAAGAGTATACACACTAAATTGCGGACTGGAGGTAGTTAAGAAAAAGGAACAACAGGTCTCAGTCCAAGAGTATAGAACTTGAAGAAAGGAAAGGATCTTCGCTCTTTTTCTGAGACACAGGACAGACCCACCTTACAGAGTAGTGCTTTTGTGCTTTTTGTTCGTTCGGTGCATCCCTCCCATCGGAAGGATCAGATTCCCTGAGGCTCCATCCGCTTCGGACCTTGAACTACTCACGCGGGCTGAGACTTGGTTGACGGACACCTGAAGCATGTGAAATCGGGTCTACGAATTGGGCTCCATGCCAGTCGCTGTGGTTTAGAGAGCTGTACTATACATACAGTCCAGCAGGCGATGAGTGGTTGCTTCGCAATCGGCCTGAGCGTGATCATTTCTCTGGCCGGGGACGAATGACGGCCGCCGTGTTCCTGGTTGTGCTTGTTTGCTTGTGAATGCGTGCGTGCGTGCCAGCCCGCGCGCTTACGCTTCAGCTGTCCTTGTAGTTTCTAGTAAACCCTGCCTATGGATTGAGGGCTGATGTACACTCCCGATACTTCCGTCGGTTGATGCTCTCTTCTCAGCGAGGTGTTCGTTCCGTCTTTCTTGCTCTATCTCAGCCTGTCTATGGATCCTCCATCCGGATCCAGTTACCATCCGCATGCCCCCGAATCCAGAGAGACTCGCCCACTTGTTCACTTTATTATACTTTAGCATGTAGAGCTTTTGCCAACTGAGCTTTTCTCTTGGAGAGAAGATCATTGGTTGCTGGATGTTGCCCGGAGAAAGTGGACTGATGATGGTCTCTACGTTTACCGCGGTGGATATCCTTCGTTGTGGGGGTGGGTGGAGCCCGGCATTCCAGAACACAACGGAGTCCGCGCAGGAGTTCCTCCTTTCTTTCTCTTTGACTACGAGGTGTCAAGTACACGTTGCTTCCGGAGGGATGCATCTGTCTCTCTCCGGAGCTGGGATAGGGAGGTGGAGCCAACTACTGGGTAGGGATAGAGGGTGTTCGTGATGTGCTTGGGGTTTGCTGTTGTTTCTTTTTCTCTACCCCGCTCATTCTGTCTCTGCTCTTCGGAATGCTGGGGGTCTTCATTGGCGTTGTGATTGAAGAGCTATTGGAGGGGTTTATTTCTTTTTTATTTTTCTTTTTCGCGCTTCTTGGCCTCGGCGTGAAGAAAGGGGGAGGGGCCGAATTGGCACGGATTGCTTACTGTATATAAAGAGTCATGGGGCGAGAGAAACAGAGGGTTTCTTTTCGTTCTGTGCTTTGGATGTGCCAGTGTTGGTAAAGCGTCTTTGTCTGCCAATCTTCCAGTGCCGTTGGCGCTGCTCCTTGCCTGTTCGTTTTGGTTATCGACCTGATCTGAATTGGTTGTATTGTATATATACTCCGAACCGCAAGTATGGTATACATCACTCGGTTGGGTGGAGTGGTGGCCGCTCTTGCGGCCTTGGTTGTGGCTGCTCCGGTTGATATTCGAGGTGAGCAAATGCCTAGTATCAACTGATAAGGAAGTTGAAGAAGAGGAAGTGCTGATGAAGTCGAATCGCAGATGTCTCAACCACTGTCTACACGCAGCTGGATCTGTTCGCGCAGTACTCCGCCGCGGCGTACTGCTCGACCAACCTCGATTCTCCGAATACGAGCGTGACTTGCACGAACGGACTTTGTCCGTTACTCGCAGCCGCCACGACCACGAGCCTGGCCGAGTTCGAGGCGTATGTTCTTGTCTGCCTGGATGTGACGCGCCAGAATTGGACTGACCGAATTGCGCACGTGTAGTTCCGATTCCTACGGCGATACAGCGGGGTTCCTCGTGGTTGACTCCACCAACAAGAAACTGGTGGTGTCGTTCCGCGGAAGCAGCTCGATTGAGAACTGGATAGCCAATTTGGACTTTATCTTCACGGATGCCAGCGCGGTCTGCAGTGGCTGCCAGGTTCACCAGGGCTTTTGGAAGGCCTGGAGCTCCGTCGCAGACACCTTAACAGCGGAGATCGCCTCTGCAGTCACCGCTTACCCCGGCTATAGCCTCGTGTTAACGGGGCATAGTCTGGGGGGTGCGTTGGCGACCATTGGCGCGACGGTGCTGCGGAATGCGGGATACTCCGTTCAACTGGTAGGTTCCTTCATGCAGCAGGAGCTGGTGAGATTTAAGGCTGACGAAAGGACAGTATTCCTACGGAGCTCCACGAGTGGGCAACACGGCGCTGGCCAACTATATCACGAGCAAAGGCTCTGGCTCGAATTTTCGAGTGACTCACCTCAATGACGTCGTGCCTAGGCTTCCACCCAGGTTGCTTGGTTATAGTCACCCGAGCCCGGAATACTGGATCACCAGCGGAACTGGTGCTGCAGTGACCTCGTCGGATATTGATATCATCCAGGGTGTTGACTCTTGTGCTGGAAACGCGGGGGAGAATATCACGAGCGTGCTGGCGCACCTGTGGTACTTCATCAGTATTGGCACTTGTTGATCGTTGTATATATGTGAGGTATGAAAATATGTGGATATATAGGGCAATGAGTATATATGATGCCTGAAGTGTGCGATATAAAGCTACTCAAGATAGCCTTCTGATAACAATTCCTTGGTTTCTTGATGTTGTTGGATGCGTGGTTGATGATGTAGAAGATTAACTTGAGGTGGTGGGAAGTAAAATGTATGCGTCACGTGGTCAGACCACTTGGGATCGCTGACACATGTCATGTGTGTTTTTCTAGGATATTATAGTGCTTGTTGAAAAGGTAGAAGGGGTTGATGCCCTCGATCAAGAGGTAGTAACACTACACATACTATGGTGTGTTGGTGAATGACAGTCATCACAGACACGATTGCTTTAGCAAGTACAGCCAAAAGGGCCCTCTTGAATTTTCTGAAGAGTTACAGTTGGGCAGACGAATCCCGGACTCTTTCTCAGAATTAAAAAATGTCAATTGATACGTACTCGAGTTTGTGAGTAAGTGTCGCGGGAAGAGTATAAAATACTATAAATTTGAATATATACCTGTTGTGCTCTTATTCAATGCCTGAAATAATGAAAATGATTATTAGAGCTGACAGACGACGCAATGCAGCACGTCTACGAGAATTCCCAACAGCCCTCTTTTTCCTCTCAACATGACAAGCCAATTCAAGACCAGAGGTAGGGGGAGAGAGGCATTCTGGCAGGTTTCAAGAGTCAAGAAGACCGATCAATTGCATCAGCACGTCTATACCATCGAATAATAAGAGATTCAGGGAAATATACTTATAAAAATAAGGCTAACTGCCATGTGATTTCTAAGGGAACCATATCCATATGTACTGTACTGCCTCCCGATCTACTACCACTCCGATCCTTGGTCTTGTTCTCATCAACGATTTGCAACTATCGCAGCCGAGAACTAGTATGGCTTCTCTTTGCTGCGCCCAGAACATTCTTTCGGCGCGTCGAGTGTTTTAGAAAATGCTTTCTCGTTCGCCCCTCGCGGGCGTCCTCTTACGCCGTAAGTTGTTTCCTCTGCTGATTATTTTGTAGAATGCAGACTCCAGAGGCCCGGCCGTAAGGCTAGGCTCTTGTTAATGTGTATGGAGAGACTGTACTTATCTCGTCGAACTTCTAGGACATTGGGACACGGTGGATTCCGTTTACTCTAAACCCCAAAGCATTGATTAGCCGAGGATCTTCCTGATCATTCCAGACAGTTTGTGGTTATTGACGTGCTCTGCGCCTCCCAATCCTCCGCCACCGGGATTTGGCTAGATAGTATCCAGATCAGTATCGCTTTAGAGACAGGTGACTGATCTAAACCTACTTGAGTCCGTCGATGGCTAGCTCGAATGCAGGCTGGCTTGGCCCATCTTGCATAAGTGCCTCTGGAAACTCGCCGAGCTCGACAGCCACCGCCAAATCGAGCCGAATGCATGCCATGCTAAGCCCGTGACAGCAATGACACTAGTAGTGTAAGACTCTTTGTGTCAATCTGCTGTACATCAACCTAGTGTGTTATCTATGGAGACTTATTCTGCAACACATTCACCCCTAGGGTGATTCAATGGAGTGTAGCCGAGGAAATCCTTCCCAAGAACAAGATCAGTGTTTTCAGGATCGCTCAGCATCGGCTTTCGAGTATCTTGAAAATAGCAATCAATCGTTGCTATCATTGTATTTGATTGACCGGGTCCTCCACCATAGTTCATGACATCTGGAACGAGGCTTTTTATGCTCAGGAGCTCTCTGTGTTCGGGAGAAAAAGCCTCGCTAAACATGTCTGCTGTCCAATTCTGTGGAATCTGCTCAACTCGGTACTTCATACGGAATCGCTTTCGTTCTGACATGGTAGCAGAGGCTATATTTTTTTAGGGGCTTCGAAGGACAAAGTGGCTGTTCAAAAGCCATGGAAGATATTCAGCGCGAGAGAATGTTAGCAGGCAACATACTACGAGAGATTCTCTTTCCAAACAGGAAGAGGCTACACAGATTAGACCAGTCAGGCATCTTAAGGCAGTTAATGTCCGTTGAGGTGCTGGAAGTAGGGCTGAGCCGAGTCCGGGAGCGACCACCAAACCAGACCAGATGCGGACTCGGGCAATTGTTCTACCGATTACTGCCAAGCAGCATTGCTGATGGAGTTTACCACGGAGAGGGAGCACAATGTCTCCAATAGTGAAACCACCATGTGGCTTGACACCACCTCCTCTCTTCCAGGCAACACAAGCTGCCAGCTGTCGCCAAATCCCTTCTTCCGTGAATCCCAACTACCTTAAGGGCAACGCAATTTTTCATCACTCTGAAAGTGTCATCTACAACCGCAAACTCCTCTCATTCATCGCTGCGCATTCCCATAAAGCCCCGGAGCTCCACTGAACCGAGTAGTTGCCCGCTCCGCAACACACCGACCCGACAGCTCAGCGATCGGCCTTCGCGCAGCCATGCTTCTTGCGCATTGAAACGTCACTTACTCGGGTATTCAATTGCTGCTTGCGATCATAGAGACTACCGGCATATGCTCTCGTATCCCGTCCGCTGCGTGTCACTTCTACGCTGCCGCCAGTCGCAACCATGTTGTTCTTCGGCAGCGGAGTCTCAAGCCCGCGCCGCCGCAGCCAAGAGAAGGCCATCTTGTGCACCATCCTGATCGTTTACGCGCTATACTTCCTCTTCTTCTCCAAAAGCTCCGAACATGCACATATAGATACATCGGCCCACGATGCGGTGTCGAAAGGCGGACCGTACCGCGATTCACGCTCCGGGCAGGCTGCGCCGTCTGCATCAGCCGCGCGAGTGTCTAAAACCCTTGACAGGGAGATGGTGGTGGCCAGCATGAAAACTGACGATGTTTCATGGCTGTACCAGTATTTCCCTGAATGGCACAAGAGCATCTATGTCGTGGACGACAAAAAGGCGCATTTGACAGTCAAGCTGAACAAGGGCCGGGAGTCCATGGTCTACCTAACGTGGGTCTTGTAAATCGTTCGTGGTGGTGTGAAGTTGGTGCTGATAGGAGTCATCTCTAGATACATCATTGACAACTACGACAACCTTCCCGATTCGATCCTCTTCATCCACCCTCAGAGATACCAATGGCATAATGACGATCCCTATTACGACGGGGTGCCGGTCCTCCGCAATTTCCAGCTTCCCTACCTGCAGAAACAAGGCTACGTTAACTTACGCTGTGCCTGGATCCTCGGCTGCCCGGCAGAGATTCACCCTTACACCGATTCGCATCGAGATGACGTCCATGTCGGAGAGTACTTCAAGAACGGATTCAAGGAGCTCTTCCCCGGGGAGGAGGTTCCGGAAGAAGTGGGAGTCTCGTGCTGCGCGCAGTTTGCAGTCACCAGCTGGAAGATCAGACAACGGCCCAAGAAGGACTATGAACGATTCAGGAAGTGGTTGACGGAGACCAAACTCCCAGATGATCTCAGCGGACGTATCATGGAGTACTCATGGCACAGTATGTTGACCTTCTGCCATTTGTGGCTGTATGCAGGAGACTAACATGCAGGCAGTGATCTTCGGCAAAGGACCTGTCCATTGCCCGACGGCTGAAGAATGCTACTGCAGGGTATTTGGCTTGTGTAACCTGGTTTGCCCTACCGAGGGAGAGTGCGCTGGCCGCTATGTTCTCCCGCCATACTCCTCTCTACCCGAAGGATGGCCGTACATCGGATGGAAGGGCCAGAAACAAGACCCCAGCAAGGGGCTACCTGAGACATAGGAGCTCTAAGTCCTGTGTGATCGTCAGGGAGATTATGCCAAGCAATACGTCTCGATTTGTGGTCAGCCTGAGTATACACATGTCGGTGTCGACTACATTGAGCAACAGACCGGCCTGTCCGAGTAAGACGGGCCATCAAGCCTCGGTTGGAAGAGCGATGGCCCGGTGATTTCTGCCGTCCGTTGCATCAATCGCCCTCTCTCCATCTATGAATGGGGGAGGACGATACCCCCAAAAATGCCATCTCTGTACATAGATCATACCATAATTGGGATCCGACTTTTTGTCAGCTCGCGCTGGAAGTGCCAGTAGAGGGACTGAGCCATAACCCGCGCTGACTGATGAGGTGTGGTGATGGTGATGTGACGATGTCAAATGTTCTCATATGAATGAAAAGTACCCACTCTTATAATATATTCAGCCTTAAAATTCCTCCAAGTTTCCGATATGTGACCTTGCAGCATGAAATCCTGTTTTTGTACAGAGTAAGACCCCCACCAAATCTGCAGCAGCCGAGGCAGCGCGGCGGAACCGGGAGCTTTCCCCGCGCGAGCGCAAGTCCCCGGAACAACAAATCCTCACCTCCCAAGGCTCAAACAACCAACCACCACACCTCCTACCTTGCCTTCTACCTCAACCCAATCCACCAAACCCCCAACACCACAAATCCCCACAAACCCGAAAAACAAAAGATGTTAATAATCGGCCTAACCGGCTCCATCGCCACCGGCAAATCGACCGTCTCCTCCCTCCTCTCCTCCCCGCCCTACTCCCTGCCCATCATCGATACAGACCTATTGGCCCGGAAAGTCGTCGAACCAGGCACGGAAGGCTACAAAGCCATCGTCAACTACTTCGGCCCGACAACCCCGGACCTCCTCCTTCCGCCATCCCCAGACTCCTCGTCCCCCAATGACACCACCGACCAGAAAAGCGAAAGCGCCCGCCCACTCAACCGCCTCGCCCTCGGGCGCCGCGTCTTCGGCACAACCGAGGACCGCAAACGCGACCGCATGATCCTCAACAAGATCGTGCACCCGCTCGTGCGCCGCGAGGTCTACAAGGCGCTGGCGTACTACTACGTGCGCGGCCATTGGGCCGTCGTCCTCGACGTGCCGCTGCTGTTCGAGAGCGGGATGGATCTGATCTGTGGGACGGTCGTGGTGGTCGGGGTGCGCGACCCGGCCGTGCAGATGCAACGGCTCCGCGCCCGCGACCCGCATTTGTCGGTGGAGGAGGCCGAGAATCGCGTCCGGAGTCAGGGCGATGTCGTCTCCAAGGCGGCGCGCGCGGAGTGGAGAGGCCAGCGCAGGGGGTTGGTGGTGTGGAATGATGGTGACAAAACGCAGTTGGAGGGGGAGGTACGGCGCGCGTTGGACGTGGTGCAGGCGTCCAGTCCTAGGTGGTGGGCTTGGGTGCTCTTGGTGCTGCCGCCGGTGGGGGTCGTGGCCGCGGTGTGGAATCTTGGGGTGAATTTTTGGGGGAGGAGGGGGTGGGAGGCCGGGGAGAGGGAGAGGGAGAGGGAGAGGGTCAGGGCGAAGATTTGAGGGGCTTGATGATTGAGGGGGCAGGGGGGTCACTTGGGTGAAGGCTTGGTGGTGTTGGTTTTGTTAATGTGAAGGCTTTTCTGGGCGTTGGGGTTGCTCTATGTATGGTGCTAGACTTTCGGTCGATGCTTTTGTGGATGTATCGTTGGGCTTGGGTTTGTGGTTTGGTAGCGAATTGGTTAGTTCTGAACTGTTTGGGAACCTGCGAGATGAGTTACTACCTGCCAGGTGGTATAATTCATTTGTTGCATTTGAGGTAATGGCCTGGCTTAGACGCTGGTTTTGCCATGTGATTTCCACGTTAGGCAGGTTGGGACTACGCCATCCTCATATCCTGATCACTACTTGAATTCCAAGGCATCAATGCCGCAGAAATTATCGAGTGTTGGCTTTTGTCTTCAGGTATGTATATTTGGAAGAAGCTAATTGAAGCAGAGTTTCTAGATTCTCATGGTTCTCCAGACTGACTGCATCCAGAACAGAACGCCGTGTTTCACTTTCTATGCTCGCTGCGAACCATATGGGACTCTGCGGCTTGACCCCGGATTACGAAAGCTGGGTGGAGTCCAGGAACGGCCGGCTGCGAAGTCTGCGACGTCAACAAGATCCTACAGCTACCAGGATCCTTCTGCCGCCAGGATATGTGATTCAGAGTGTTCGCGAAGCGGAAGAATCGTCCAGTCACTCATCTCTTCAAAAACGAGGTTGGAACTTATCCATTGATGAGAAAGAGCCGTCGTCTGACCTGTAAAGACATACCAGTCGCATCAGACCCTGCCAGAGCGAAGACCAACCTCCATATCGAAATCCAGAAAAGTCCTCGCCCAGATGAACGCCACGAAGAGGCTGCGCCAAAATCCCAATTAAAGTGCCACCTTGAAGCACCACGGATCCTCACTCTTGAAAGAATGCCTAATGGACTATATAAAGTGCGCAGACCCCACCACTCCAACGAATCGAGCATTATAGATCTCCGAGCTTCTCGGAACCTGAAAAAGCCCACAGCGCTGCCTCCCTATCGGGATAAATCCACCTGGACGGGACCCAGTAGAAGAGATGTTATCGTGACCAACTCATCACACAGCAGGCAGCCTAGCAGCAAGACGAGCAGCAGGAGGAGCGGAGAGGCCGGGCGCGGTACACCTGTAGACTCTCCACGCAGAGTGCGGTTCTATAGAACTGCAGACGATGATAATGTCCCAGATAATGAGACCGTGAACGGCAAGGTTTCGAGCTGGTTGCTGCAGGATGACGAATTCTGGTAACGGAGTATTTGTTGACACAAGTCGTTCTCCCCTGCCTTGACCAAACCAGATATAAGATCGCCAAGAATTGTGAGTATCCACGGAAGAATTGCCAGGTCCACAGAATTTCGAATAAGTCCATGTCATGTATGATTTATGATCCACTGTGTCGCGAGGCATGTTTTATTTATTTGTGCTTGCGTTTCTTCTGTTTCTTGTCGCCGCCGCCGCCACCGCCTCCATGGCGTCCTCCGGAAATACTCGTCAGTGCTGACAGTTTGACGGGCTGGGGCTTGTTCTTTTCCTTCTTCTGGGCTTTCTTCTTTGCTTTCTTAATCATGGCGTCCATATCGTTAGGGTCAGCTTCGCTGTCGTCATCCTCATCAGATTCCTCTTCATCTCCCCCGGCCTGCTATGCGTGTTAGTATGCATCGACTGTTGCCATATGATAGAGACCGTTAGCACTGACCGCGCTCTTCTTCTTTCGCTTGTAATTGCCATAGGCCTGTCGACCACCGTAAACCATATCATCATCATCCGCATCCAAGGAGCTGTCGGCCACGATGAACGGCTGGGGTGCAGGTGCGTCGAAGCCATAATCCAGGACCCATTCCGTATCACCCGACTCCGCGGCTTGTCGAGCGAGCGCCTCCTTCCGCTTTTCCTCCTCGGCAGCTAGGGCGGCTGCGACGGCGTCCATATCCGATTGAGGGGTTGATGGGCTTTGTACCGATCCAGTCGAAAGTCTTTGACGCTTCGAGATCGGCGTAGTGGAAGTCTCACCGGAAGACTGCGGCGTGGACTTTTCAGCCGCGGCGCGTTGCATGAACTGTGCAGATTAGCATCGCGCGCAAGTAAATTGAAATAAAAGGTCGCAGTCAGCCACATACCTTCATCGTCAGAAGACGAGAAGACATGGTCTTCTCTGGCTTTGCGCCAGGTGTCGATGGGGTAGACATGACGGCGATGAGGTCGATCAGAGCCTGAAGTGAAGTGAAGATGCAAGAAAATATCGACAATTCCGAAAGCCGCAGCCGCCTAAAGAAACGTGCAACTCGAGGACCAGCAAAAGCGACTCGATTGCAAAGCAAAGAAAATAGCGGGCGGCAGAATCTCACCGCATCCGCGGCAGGAGCGGCGCCGATTGGCTGATTTCGCTGCTGCCAGCTCCCGCTCGCAGACTCTCACCATTGAGTGGTGGTGGTGGAAACCTCACTATTGCAATCCTCCTCCCCTTCAATCCACCCGGACTTGTCCATTGTCGTCCTCCGCCCTCACCCCCGCCCTACCTCTTCTCAACCTCTCTGGGACCTCAATTTCGCCCAGCATGATGAACTGCGTCCGCAGCCGTGTCGCGGCTTTCTCTACCGCCTGGACCCCTCGGGTCGTCGCCCGGGCCAGCTACTCGACCACTGTCCCTCGTCTCAGCGAAAACACCCTGCACGCCAACGACCCGACCCCCTCCAAGCCCGTCCCGAACGTGTCGGCCACCAATGCCACTCCCGTCGACTCGATGGGCGCATGGGACAAGCCCCTGCAGGAGACCCCCGAGATTGCGGAGCGCACCCGCAAGCTCCAGGCTCCCAACCGGGCCACCACCTGGGCTGCCAGCCAGCAACCCAGAGAGAAGGCCATGGTCGGCCCTCGATTCGAGCAGACGATAATGGAGATGCAGGTCCGTGAAATCCCGAGCCATTGGATCCAGGAGAGGACGTTGGGATGAGCCAAGAAGGAGCGAACGACAACGCAATATCAAATCAACTCGGAGACTGACGTTATTCTGTGCTAGCCCCAACCTTATGCCGCCATTGAGCTCATCCACAAGCAGCCTGTGCGCTGGACGAAGAAGCGGGTTGTTGAGTGTGATGGCGGCGGCGGTCCTCTCGGTCACCCCCGGATCTTCATCAACACCGACAAGCCCGAGATTGCTACCTGCAACTACTGCGGCATTCCCTTCGTATGTTCTTTTACCATGCTGTTGTGCCGTTGCAGAGTGCTAATCCATGACATTTCAGGCCCACGAGCAGCACCGCGCATACCTCAAGTCCCTCCCCGCCACCAGCTACCCCCTCGAGCCCACTGGTGATGCCGCCGAGGTGAACGAGAGCCAGCGTGTGACTGATAGTGCTTTCGAGCAGCGGTAAAGAATGGCTTGCTTTTTCTTCCTTTGGCGTTGATGACTTTTCTTTTCTTGCTTGTTGTTTCCCCGTTTGGCCCCCAGGCTCTTGTACAGATGTACCAGACAATGAAGTTGTTAGAACGAACCATTCCCTAAAAGTCGATGTAACCTCCTTGGGTCCTTTAATTAATACTACACGAGAAGCTCCTCCAACCAATACTACACGGGAACAATACAGAACCGTTCGTATCTCTCCATTCTGGGTTGGTTCGATACTAAATACCTCCCAACCCTACAACAACAACCACCCATCCTTAGACCCCTCGAACTCACGCCTTCTCACCCTGAATGGTAGCCACCACCTTCCGCGAGTGTCGACTCGTCCGGAACTCCAGATACCAAATCCCTTGCCACGTCCCAGTCGCCAACCGACCGTTCGTAATCGGGATCGTCACCGAAGCCCCGACCAACGCGGACTTGATATGCGCCTGCCCACCACCACCACCACCATCAAACAAAATTAGCATCTTTCCACTTCCTTGTTCAACATAACCGATAGACCCAATCAAAGGCACCCAGCCCACATCATCCCCCACTACCATCTACACAGCTCCAAAAAAGAAAGGGTGGGGCCAAACAAACCGGCATATCATCCTCCCCCTCCGCGGAATGGCGATACAGGTTCCCCTTCTTGTCGTAGGGGGCGATGCGGTCCAGCGCGTCGCTCATGTCGGCGCGCACGTCCTCGTCCCAGTTCTCGTTCAGCGAGAGCGCGCAGCTGGTGTGCTGCACGAACAGGTTCAGCAGGCCGACCTTGTAGTCCCGGATCTCCGGCAGCTCGGACAGCACCTGGTCCGTGATCAGATAGCTGCCCCGCGAGCGGGAGGGGAGTGTGAAGGATTTTTGGAACCAGGACATTGTTTTGTTGATTCTTGGGAGATGGGGGGTTAGTATGATTCTTTCGGGGGCGGGGTTATGGGGGAGGGGTTTGTTGGGTTGGTGGAGGATTGTGTTATGTGGTGGGTGAGTAAAGAAAGAGGAGCAGGGATCAATTGGTTTTGAGGGAGGAATTTACGTACGATGCGATTGACGGAGGTGTAGGGAAGGAGATGAGGTTGGCGGTGTTGACTTTTGTTTGAGCTGAAGCGAAGCTACTTAGACAGAGGAACGAATTTCGGGTGGGGGAGAAGACAGGAGAAAGACCCGTCGACGTCATTCGCGAGATCCGCGCATTATCTATCGCTGCAATACTAACTTACAGGCTGGGCCGCGTCAACACTGAACACAAAACATTGTCTTCATGAAATGGCAAGTAAAGTCTATGGTTCTTTGCAACTCTGTAATTCCCAAACATCGCCGCCCCATTCCTCATGAAGCCAAGCACACGCTTGCCTGCACAGAGGGAGGATTGCTGGTCGCCGATCCCCAATCCGTGCCGCTTAAGGCTTTCCCTGCCTCGGTGGAATTGTCCGATCGAATCTTTTTCTCCCGCTGTCTGTCAGCAGATTCAACGAAACGAAAGGAAGACTCACATAGTACTGCTGCTCGACATAGTACCACCAATCATCACTGCGAAATGCATTGTCCGTGGACTGGCTGATCGGGTCGACCCAGATCCTATCCTTGGTATCGAAATGCGCGTGCTTCGACCACGAGACATACACCTTCGGATGGTCATTCCCACGCACCCCGTCCGGCGCGCGGGCGTCGCCAGCCGCGATCTCCTCGCTCGTCAGCGTGCTATGGATCTGGCTCCAGGCCAGATTATGATAGCCACTGTGAGCCGACAGCAGGGCGCGCGAAGGCGCCCATAGCTCGTTCGCGTCGCGCGAGTGGACAATGATGACTCTTTCCCAGTCACTACATCACGGAAGATTAGGCTCTTTGATGTGCAGAAGGACAAACAACCACAGAACGCTGCCCGGTACACCCACTAGTCATGCCCGGTGTCGATCAGGTCGAGCACCTTGGCCCCGTCCTTCTCGTAGAAGAGATTATAGACCACGCGCACTTCGGTCTCATTGCACCGCTGCACGGTGTAGTAGATCGGGAACGCGGACGCGGGGCCGGGATTCCCGGCCTCGACGCCCGGGTTGCGGCATTCGCAGCCCACGTCCGGGTATTCGCATTGCGGCGCCGGTGCGGTCTGGTGCGCCGCGTCGTAGACGTCGGGCGAGTCGGGCGAGCCCCCGAAGGCCCAGGTCGGGTAGCAGGGCACCTCGTTCAGGGCTTGGCCGAAGAACCAGAGCGGCGCGTAGCGGTCCGCAAGCTCGACCCCGTCGTCTTGGTTCAGCAGGGTTCGCATCTCCTCGTCCGTGATCTGCGTGACGGCGGCAATCGCTGAGCCGGCCAACGCCGCGAGCACGGTGCTTTGGCGTGCTGGCCACATCGTGGACTGGTCAATACATGTACCGGACCACGGATCTTGGGGCCCTAGTTATTGGCATAGTTGCGTGGTTGTGCGGAGAGCAGTCTTATAGATGTATCTCGAATCATCAGGTCTGTGTCAGTCGCGTCGGCTGACCAACCCCGCGCCATACTGAGGAATGTACTTCTAAGATCGATTCCTTCCGATGGACTTTTCTCACATCAGGGGTTTTGGACTTCCGTTGACTGATTGACCAGCATGACCCCTGCTCAGGGTGACATCGGGCCGGGGTTATCGGTTGACATGAGCATGCAGCACCATCACATTTCCATCGCGTCTGAGAGGCAGCCGACGACGCCCAGCCTGACACCGGCCTTTTCGAACACCAGCATGTTCCTTCTACAAGGGATGTGATCACGTTTTCTGTCTCACATGTGACAATTATTCAGAATTTCCTAATATACATATCATGATGATCATTTATTCATGCACTCGTCTGACTCGTATCGCTGACCAAAATCGTGTACGTGGTCCAGTGTGGTCACAGTTTCGTAAAAGACCCAAAGGATACGATCTCCGATTTTCATTCCGTGGGCTTGCCCATATCATCGACCTTTTCACTGTCTTCGTCCATCCCGGCCCACTTGAGCTTGCCATCTGGGATCTCTAGGACCCGCTGACTGTAGAAGATATGGCAACTAGAATAACCGCGTCAGTCAAGGAACGAGCAGCTACAGCAACAGTTCCCCCGCGCGGGCGAACAAGCGTAACATGGACTTACTCGACCTCGAAGGCCTTCCGCCACTCCAAACGCTCTGCGTCGGTGTCTCCGCATTCGATCGACTCCGGGAACAGCAAACAGACATTCCGTCCTTCGTCCATAATCGGCGACCGGCACCACGAACAGAAGACCTTGGTGGGCAGGGAGTATTCCCGGGTCTTGTTGGTGGAGGAGTAGAATGCCAGACCCTCGGCGCCCTTTTCGAAGAGCAGGTTCTCCTTTTTGAAGATGGCCGCCCATTGGAAGGGGGCGGCTGCGGGGGGAGTATTCCAGTTAGCTATCATTCGCAGCATCTTTCTGCTTCATCACGAACGAACTCACCATGGGTCTTCTGACACCCGCGACAGTGACAGAACTTGGTCTTGAGAGGCTTCTCCTTGTTGAGCTTGTATTTGACCTGGCCGCACTGGCACTTGCCGTGCCACTTGACCTCGCCGAAGTCCTCGGCGGACCGGTGCTGGTAGGGCGGCCGCTGGGCCATGTCCTTGGTGCCTTCGGGTTTGTCCGACATTCCGGTCGAGTTCTTGCGGGCGTGAGTCGTTGATATGAAGCGGGGGAATTGAGTGCTGCGGGCTGTTGTTGCTGCTGCCGGGAGATAACACTTGGGGGTGGAGCGAAGGATGGGGGTCCAGAGTCGAAAGGGCGTCAATAGCATATCACAGAGGATGTAGAAACTGGGATTGTCATTCAATTGAACAACATAATTGAATGTCGTGTGACTCTCGTTGAGTCTCTCCTATTTATACAAGAGACCGCCGTCGGCTTTTTCTGTGCAGGGTCTGGAACTGCGGATGATGTCATGACGATGTATTCGATGACGGACGAACGGGGGGGGGGGGGCCTTGGACACAGAATGGTAAAATGACAGAATTATTGCGACGGTTGTTGAGGTACTTGCGACTAAAAAAAGGGTCTGGAATGTTTCCTGGGGGTGAAGGATTGAGCAATCGTGCATAAGCTTAATTAAGGTCTGGCTGATTGCTGCTGGTGGGTGGTGGTGCAATGGCATGGCAGTTAGTGGGTGATTCTGGCTAGTGGCTTGTTACTATGAATAAATCGGGCTGTCAACCTTGGGGAATTCGCTGCGATGGCTGGATCTTAAAAGACAGCTTCCTCCTTGGTAGTAAACTACTTACCTGATATTTTCTCTATGGTTCTTTGAAGGTTTTGTGTCTTTGATCTTCATTGTTGAGAACTTGGTTGTTCAGGAGATGCTGTGCCTTACAAATAGATGTATGTAACGTCCAAGCAGCCTACCAAGGCGTTTACTTCGATCAAGCACTGGTTTCATAAAGACGACTATGATCCGTGTAGCATGATACGCCACGAAGAGGATTAGACGTAAAGATCTTTATATTGCTGGCCAAATTATTTTGAGAGGGCAAAGTAAAGGGGCGAGGTAAGGAAACAGCACAAAGTGATGCAGCTACTACGAAGCGTGGCTGGCCCGTGTGTCGTTGTGGCTGGTAGAATACCCATCTTGTGAAGAGCTGGGACATCAATGCTAGAATCTCAGGACAGAAGATCTCTTTCTAATCATGGCTGCATGGAAATGAAATTCTTATGGTTGTCAAGCAAACGAAGTAAACACTAGGCCGCATGGGTCCTTGTCCTCCCTCTCGTTCCTCCCTCGGCTTTCCTCCTCCCACCCCCTTCGGAAAACAACATCACCAACACACCAACAAACAACAGCTCTCACCATTCGGAAAGATATCCTGATAGTCTGTCCTCACTTCACTCTGATCTGACCCCTGCAAGATGAAACCCACCCGTTCAGTGTCCGGAAGCATTCTCCTCCACCCAACTCAACCTGAAACCCCCGCCCTTAATATAGGGAACTCTTGGCGGGCGACACCCTGTCATTTCGCTTGAGGAGAAACGAGAGAAATGCCAATCACCGACTCCCCGCCTCCCAAATCCAAACGAACGGCGGGTGCATGCATCTCTTGTGCATCGAATGAACCGCTCTCGCGTTACAAGTCTCAGGGCTTAATTATACCTCCTCTTCCCGTTCTCGCCGTCACTCATCTCATCCTGTCCGGCTTCTTCTGCTCTTTTTGTTCTCCGCTTCTCGCTTAGCTTGTCTCCATCCGCGTTTCAGCCTTCTTTATCTCCAAACTCCGATCGGCCTTTAACCTTCTTGTCCGTCTTAATCTCTTACTTGGTTTCTTCTGTGTCATCTTTGCGAGGCATCGACTCGCCCTTGTCATCCCCCTCAGTTTCCTCCCAATCCATGTCCTTCCCGGTGGTGGATCTTGCATGATGGGTCTCCTGAGCCGACTTCGCAGACATTCCTCCAGGAACCACAGTGCGGGGAATGCGGCCACCTACGACCATCTCCGCACCGACGTCGACACCTATCCCCGCTCGACCTCCAACCAAGACTTGACCAAATCCCTCCCACGACCGATTCTGCATCGCATCTTCGCCGCCGTATGTCCACACACCGTTGACGACAGCTATGAAACATCGGAAGAGTCCATGACCGAGGATGGCTGCATGCTCTGTGACATGCGCGACCTGGCCCACTGCGCCTTGGTCTGTCAGCGCTGGTATCTGGAAGCCCGGGCTTTACTGTAGGTACCAGCGATCATCTTCGGGGAGGCACACGTCTAACGAGTTGTCTCTTCCTGCTTAGATACTCCCACGTCCGCATTGACCCCGTCCATTACTGCGAACTCGAAGTGGAACTATCCGCCAAACGAAAGCGACGCTCGTTCCTGAATCGCAACGGGGAGGCCATCGATGCGCCCCAGGTCCGACTACGACTCTTTATGCAGACTGTGCGGGAATCGTCAGATCTGGGACATCGGGTCCTCTCTCTCCGCATGCCATACATGACTCGCGAGGCGAGCAAAAGCGAAATCGCCCGCACCATCTCCGTCCTGCCGAATCTGCGCTATGTCGACCTCCCCGCCGGCATCTTCAGCGACGACCCATCGTGCTTGGCCTTGAAGCAGGAGCTCATCGGTCGGTGCCAGGATCTTCGCCGGATGAGCTACCGCCACGGGGCCGAGGGCAGCTTTTCGCAGTTACCCGACTCGCCGCTCTGGGTGAATCTGGAAGTCCTCGAGCTCTCCCGGCTGCAGATCGAGCCGCACATCCTGCGGATGGGCCTCGCCTCCTTCCCCCATCTCCGGGATCTCACCCTCGACGACCTGCCCTGGCTCGACGACTCCGCCTTCTCGCCCTCCTCCGTTACCCTCCCCCCGTTCCCGGCCGTCCAGCGCCTCACCCTGCGCGATACCCCGAACGTCACGGCAAGCGGGCTTGTCGATTTCTTCTCTCTGCCCCTCAACCGCAAGACCCTCCACTCCCTGACCCTCTCCTCGACCGGCGTCCTCCCGTCGACCTACCACCAGATCCTCTCCGTGGCGCCGCAACTCCGCTCCTTCTCCGTCAACCAGGAGGTCACCCGCTCGTTCCCCGTCGACAGCAACCGCGTGCCCCCGCTCGCCTCCCGCTCCCTCGCCCTCCTCCACTACGAGATCACCTCCCCCTCCAGTCCCGTAGCCGGCACCCTCCCGCCCATCGCCGCCTCCTACTACACCTACCTCATCTCCTCGCTCATGTCCCACGCGCTGCCCGCGCTCCGGGACCTGTACGTCCGCGATTCGAGCTTCCCCGAGACCTTGCTGCTCGCCCCGCCCCCGCGGCTGCTCGGCGGCGGCGAGGGCGAGGGCGTGGGCCCGCAGTTCTTCCACGGGGGTCTCGCCCAGCCGCTGAACGTGTACAGCAAGGGGCTGGACGAGCTCGAGTGGAACTTCACGCCGTACGAGCCGCCGTCGACGCGCGGACGCCGCGCCAGCACCACGCGGCCCGTGAGCTTCCATGACGCCCAGCTGAGTCGCACCTGGGGCGGCGACGCGCGCAAGAGTGTCCTGGTGGGGAACGGGTTCGGCGGGTTCCTGGCCGTGCCGGTCGAGGATGAGGACGGTCGGCCCAAGAGTAGTGGCGGGTGGCGACGCGATAGTCGGCAGGATCTGTGGCGGTGAAGCTGGGGGTCCTCATGCTGTATGCTTGTGTCAACTGAGATACGTACGGTTACTACGGGTAATGTTGTAATGATGGGCAATTTGACCTGGGCTCTCGTGGGTCGTGTTGTAGTAGATGTGGATCCCCTACTGGCTGTCTGTGACACTGGGTTCGGACAGGTTCATATTTAGGTATTTAATTTATCTTTCTTTCTCTTGATTTATTTCCTTCCGCGAGGATTGGGTGGAATGGACATTTGGAAAATGGTTCCGGAAAATATTAGAATATGTTTTTACCACCTTGTTGAAAACAATGAAGATAGAAAACATGATTGTGTCACCATCAACCACCGCCTTTTTCATACCATACTCCCCCATTCTTCCTTCTGCTGAAAACCCCACCTCACTCTCTCCTGTCTGTGCCTAGTATTGAGCAACCTACCCACTCCTCAACTATTTGAAGCACCACCGTTCAGCCACCAGATGCTGAAAAGAACAAATAATCAACAAGCATCGCCCACCACCAGAACAGCAGCATCGTGGGGTGCCAACTTGACACTATACTTATCCCGGACACACCCCAGATCGTTGCCCGTCCAGGCATTTCGCACCCGAAACCCCGTCCCGCGGCGCCCGCGATGTCTCCCTTGCAGCTCGGGCACCTCCTTCCAGTACGCGGTCCGGGTCTGGGTGCGATCCTCCGAGTTCAACACCAGCACCAGCGTCCCGTTGAGCGTGGACGACGGCCCGGACCAGTACTCGGCCGGGTGCAACGGGTCGAAGGTCCAATCGGCGTTGTAGCCCCATTTGTAGGGGTAGGCGGGGCGGCCTACTAGAGGGTCCTGATTGAAGGCGAGCAGGTCCTTGTTGCTCAGGATGGCCAGGTGGGCTGCATCGATTGAGTCCAGCTTTTTGTACCCAAGAAGTTAGTTCTGGGGTAAGTGGATGAGGTTCCTATGGAGGAGGGCGGGGGGTTGTGGGGAGTTGAGGGACAGAAACATACAGGAGTGCCAATAATCAGAGGGCTCTTCATGATCGCCCAGAGAGCAAAGTGGGCGCGGTTCTCAGCCAGCGTCAGATTCCCGTTACCGACTTCTAGCATGTCCGGGTCGGGGTGACCCCAGAAGTTGGCGTAGTTCATGAGGAAGGAGTTCTCATTGGCAATTTCGGCGATGCGTGTCCAGTTTGCTGCATTATCTGGTTAGTGCTTGATTGTTGGAAGAAGCGGAGGGGGAAAGGGGGGGGAGGAGGTATAGGAGAAAGGAGAGAAAGGACGAGATTGACAGGGGAAGTTTGGCGCTGGGAAAGAAGAGGGAGTCCTACGTGTAATATCGCCCGACATGCGCCACGAGTTGCCGGTTGCGTTTCCCCAGGCATTCACATCGGCTTGACCCCAGTCACAAAGAGAGTAGAGAATGGTCCGGTTCACGCTGAGAAGAGCGTCGCGCATGGACTGGTAGCGCTTCGCCGTCGTCGATTTCGACCAGTCGTACCTGGCCGGGGCAGCGTCCGCGAGTCCCGGGCAGGTGCCGTTTGGGTAGGGACCACCGTTGGTGCTGTCAGGTAC